GCCCCCAGAATAGCCAGCCAGACACAAGCTTCTTCCCCCTCTCTTACCACATCAAAAGAGAGCTGAGACAATTGCTTTGATCCATTGTTCTCAGGAAGTAATTGGGTCACATATGAACAAATTCGTCAGGGAACCATAGTGTACTTTTCTGAAAAACAGTGGTGATAAACTCAGTGAACTTTTTCAAAAAACTAACAGTGTTTTTACTGTTGCTTTTTAAAAGCTTTATTTTTATTTGTGTGTGTGTTTGTGTGTATGTGTGTGTGTGTGTGTGTGTGTGTGTGTGTGTGTGTAAATTTATATGCACCACATGTGTGCAGGTGCCCATGGAGGCCTGAAGATGGTGTCAGGTCCACTGGAACTGGAGTTATAAATGGTTGTGAATCACCATGTTAGTATAAGGAAATGACCCTGGTCCTATGCAAGAACAGCAAATGTTCTTAACTATGCTCCTATTTTCATAGTGTGTGTGTGTGTGTGTATGTGTGTGTGTGTGCACGTGTGTGCGTGCATGCGTGTGTATGTGTGTGTGTGTGTGTGTGTGTTTAACTGGGGTTCTTTGCATGATTTTTGCTAGGGGGTGACTTACTAGATTATAAGCAAATTAGTCATTGACATGGAACAAAATGATACTTTCTTTCCCAGCAACCATTACTTGCCAGTAGTTACTCAGGAAGGTGTGTGGCATCATCATCCTTTCCTTCATCTGTTATGAAATGATGACAGGCCCATATTGTGCTTATCTTGTGCAGATAATATCAGTTTCTATAAGCATTAGTGAAATGACTATGTCATGTCCAAAAGATAGCTTTCATAGGAACCCATTCCATTTCCCTGTGTAAGATGAGTCCTTCCAGAATCACCATCTACCTGTTGCAGAACAGGACCCAGGATGAATGAATGCCTTATCATACTGTAGATGGCCTAAAGGATAGATTCCATTGGAGAACTTTGAATGAGAGAATACCCTTCTACCCTTCAGAGATGCCTGTTGACACACTGTACATGGGAGTTCATATGTAATTGCCCAAGAAGATGCTGACTGAAAAGTTAAGTGTCTGGTCATGAATTTCTTCTTTTCTTAAGGGTAGACTTGAGGAGGTCATTTCCCTATAGGATACCAAGCTTAGGTTTTGATCTTTAAGGCTAGGAAAAGCCTGTGTGTAGGGAACTGTTCATTTCGGCTACGTCCTTCCCACCAATAGGTACATGGGTCATCTTCAGAAAGTCATGCTTCTTGTATAACAGCTGTCTTACTTCACCTTTTTACTCTCTTTGGGCATAATTGCTGTGTCAGAGTACCTGAGAGAAATGACTTCAGGTGGGGAGGGACTTATTTTGGCTCAGTTTAGAGGCTTAAAGCATATTGTTGTGGGGAATTCATTCTGGCTGCAGCAGGTAATTTTGTGATTTGGAAGATTGTGGCAGGATTTGTAGACATTTTGGTGAATTGGGGATCAGGGAAGCTGAGCAATAAATAGGTCTCCGCTGTATTCTTCAAAGAGTTATTCCTGTGACTAACCAGTGTTTGTCATGCTCTGTGACTCCATGTCCGAAGGTTCTACAAAATCCCCAAACAGTTCCACAGTTAGAGACGAAGTGTTCAATCCAATAATTCAGTTGGGGACATGTTACATCCAAACTATAATATTTCATCCCTACCACCATAGGCTGATTGTCATTTCATAACGAAAAATATATTTAGCCCAACTTAAGAGTGCCCATATTCTCAACAGCCCAATGCTGCTCAGAAGTTTAAAACACAGTCTTCTAAGATTCAAGGTAGAATCTTAGCTGTGAGTTTCTGTAAAATCAAAACTACAAAAAAAGCAACAACAGCAGCAAAAAAAAAAAACTGATTTAGTAAGTGTAAATAATAGAAAAACAAAATAAACCACAGAGAATGGGATGAGTGACAGCAGAAAGAAAGTATACTTAGGGGATAGGTTGATAGAGACTTGCATAGACATGAAACTTGGAGTCACCTCCCCATGGTTGGGTGGACAGAGCCGGCAGCATGGGAACAGTTCAGATGTTATAGAGAAGCTGGTGAACATTCAGAATACCTCATTATTTGTGAGGAGTTTGACAATTTCCTCTCCTCCTCTCAGGATTCATTTTTTTGAGGACTAGAGCCTCCCGTGGATTCCTATTGTTTTGTTCTGTTTACCTCTGCCATGCTGTAACTATCCTGAATCCCCACACCCCAGCATCCCATCTCCAGCTTTCCATCCTTTTCTGAATACCATAGTTTCTTGAATGGGGTGAGGGTCATACATTTTCAGTGATGTAGCTTTGGTATCAATTTAGTATTGGGAGGACATTTATTCATTGATGACTGAGTCTCTTAATGATGACAATTGTTAGCAGAAAACAGGGAATCTTGAACAAGGTCACAGGGAAAAGTAGTGAGGAGCTGGAGAGACACGTCAGTTCACAAAATGTCTTCTGTGTGAACATGTGGTCCTGAGTTGTGATCAATAGCACCCATGTACAAAGCTGGGAATGGCGGCAAGTCTTCAGAATCCTAGTCCTGTGAGGCAAAGTTGGGGGATCTTGGAGGTTTCCTGGCAAGCTAATCTTGCCAAATAGCTCCAAGATCAATGAGATACCCTGTGTTTCAGTAATTTGTAAAGCAACTGAGGAAATATATGATGTTGATCCAGGGCCTTGATATGCATGCACATGCACCATCACACACACATACACACACGTCACACATATGCATATCCAAGTGCAAATACAAATACACATTAAACAAAATGGAGGTGAGAACTTTCTATAATCTTTCCCAGGGTTCTGTGTGGCAAACAGTACAATAAACAATGTAATTCTTCTGACTGCAAGCCAAGATTAGAATACAGTTAAAACACTGCCACCCTATTGTATATTGCTGTGGTAACTGTTGTTTCTTTTTATACAGAAGTAAAATCCCAAACATTATAACCCTAATAAGTAAGTGGATGAGACCCAACAATATTGTTCAAATAGTATTTTATTAAGCTTCCTAAGTAAGGGTGGGGGAATTGGAGGAAGGAGACATGATAACATTTAATTGTGTATGTGTGAAAATGTCAAAAACAAAGAAAATCACTTAAATAGATGTGCTTTGAGCTATCTATAGTAAAATATAATTTCTGAAGTAGTTTGATTTTGAGGAATCATTTTCACCAAAATAAAGCCCAGATTATCAATTGTCTTTTTAAATAAGCAATAACTGATGCTTTGCTCACATGTGTAGAAGCAGAGGTCGACTGTGGACAATGGAAAGCCCTAGGCAGCTGCAATCAACTGAGAGTGGCATTCTGCCAGCTCTTTACCTTGGGACTTGGCTGCACAGCAGCCCTCTGGCTTTTTTCCTCCTGGAGACCGGCAGGAATGGGAAGCACACAACCAAACCACCAGAGTAGCAGATATTTAAACCACAGCTCACCGAACCTCACAGTCCACCATGAGGAGTTTGCTTCAACTTTCCATATTTAAGTAGACATGAAACCGAGAGAATTGTGTCACCTCTACTATATTTTCAGTGTGTTCACATGAAAATATAAGAGTCTAATTTTCATTTGGACGTGTGTTTGGCATCAGAAATACTTCAGTGTAATGGGAGCATGACCAGGGACTGAAGTCAGGCACCGAAGCAAGACCATTGTGGAAAATTTTGAAAAACTGATCAGTATGAGAACACTAGCCAAAACTGAGCAGGAAGAAATATCTGGGGAGAATTTAGACTAGAAAGGAAAGTATAAAGTTTGTATTCCTAATGAGACAACCTAGTGAGTATGTGTACCAGATAAGAAGGAAAATCTAGGTACAATATCGGAAATATTGTCAAGAGAGAAATCTTTAACCATGCATTAAGCAGCTGAGGATGTATTTGCATATTAATATTTTTAACCTGACCAGTATGGAACAATGTGTAGCAATTTTCAGTATTTTTAAGCCATACACAATAACAAAAATCAACTGAAACAGCATTTTGTAATGTTTCAAAATTATTGCTTATAAGTGCATTTAACAGTGGAATTTTGTAGGTGTCTTTTGCCTACACAGCTAACCCATAGTACGATGTATTTCTTCTGCAGATTTAGTGTGTGTTTGCCATTAATTTCTAGTGACACTTTTCTCCGCTATGCTACTGCTTGGTATATTAAAAATTAATTAAATTATTGAATTGAGAATGTATAAAGTGTCTAGTTTCATTTTTAGGTTATAAATTTGTTCTTGTATTTGAAGTAGATTATGAGATTGGAGGACAAAAATTGGGAAAGGAATCCCTGTGAAACAAATTCTACTAACAGTTCTTCATCTAAATACATAGCATTTGGAAAATCGACAACTTAAAATTTTGGAGTTGTACTAAATATTGGCACTTAAAGACATGTTTTATAATCTTTAACAAAGAAAGACACCACAGTGAAAGTGACTTTGCTAGCATTGTTTAGCTGAATGGCTGACTAGCTGAGAATTGATGCTGAGTTAATTTTCTGTCTCTGATGGAAGAGTTAAAGAACATTTCCCAGTTGGAACTTGTTAGATCATGTACTGCTTCAACCTGACTTTCTTACACATGCTAATCTTAGTTGCTAAGAAGCATTCTTATACATAGCTCTGCTACTGTGCCAATCACATTGGCCTAATTTATGTCCACAGTAAATTACACATGTAGAGGAAAATTGAAGACAATGAGTTTAAATATGTTACTATCTATTTATGAAAGAATAAATTTTACCTTGGCCATGATTCCAAATTGCCAAAATATGGGTTTAAAAGACAAATAATGCTTTCACATTTAAATATTGAAGAATGTAAAAACCACTTAAAGTTCCATGCAGCTGAATTTAGGTTTTCATATTGATCAGATGGAAATAGGCTTGTATTTGTTATAACTGCCACTGTCTTGTACACCAAGAGTGAAAATTCAGTTATTTGTCTGGTGAAACATGTTTTTATTCTTTTAAATAAATAATACTTATGAAAAAGTAAACAACATGCAAAAGTAACATCCATGTGTGGTTCTTCTTATTGAACTGAGTAGATAAATCCAAGTGAGTTTGCCCAATTCTTTCAATTAGCTTTAATAAATACATGATTCTCATAATTTTGATTAATGCTGAATAAAATTGACATCCACCATTCATTTTACATGTAGTCCATTTATCTCCTAAAATAAGTGAATTAAAAATATAGACCTGGAAGTAGGCACTAAATAGATGATGATACATCATTCTATACACATGCTCATCATGGCAATTCACACATTTCCTGTGTATTTCCACCCTTGCTGGCAGAAGTGGACAGTGGATACTGACATCATTGACTGATTTTTTTTTTTCTCACTACAAACCATAAATGAAATGTAAAGAATTAGGTCAAATACAATCATGAAAAGAGGGACTATCATGTGGCCTTCCCTTTAAGCATACCACAGTTGTCTTTCCTTTGGTATTACAGTCAGGGTCATGTGAAATCAACCCTGCTAGGGATGCTTAGAGAAATCACATTTAGGCATAAAAACAAAGTGTCAGTTACAAAGGGAACTGCAGCCTCCTCACTACGTATCCCTTAGACCATGTTGTTTTTAAGTATTCCCATTAGCTCTCCCAGCGATCTACATCTGAGGCCAGCCCACTTGTGGTTGGAAACCTTAGGGAGACTCTAGGGAGAGCATCGTGGTTAACCCTCAAGGGTTCAGAGAGTGGCTTTAGAACTCGGTCAAATTTCATCCTCAGCTCTAAAAATAAGATGATGTAAAGTATATTCTTCTTGACAATGGGCCAAAAATAACCTTGCAAATACAAAAGTAGTACATTATATTATTGTTTAAAGACTTTTTATCATTCAGGGCAAAAACTGAACAGCAAATCACAGAGTCATATTTTCATATGTGTTTAAAAAAAGACAAGATGGCCAAGAAATGGGTCATTTGGTACAACAGATTTTTTTTTTTTAGAGAGAGAGTTGAGCACAGTGCAGATAAATTTCACTGGTATTTCTTCTTCCTTTTGCATTTCTGGTGTTTCTGGCTCCCTTCATTCCCTCTCTTGTCTTCTGAGCTACTGTCGGTGTCACTGGCCTGCCTTTCCCTCTTTCGCTTGTTCCTCTGATAAAGGTCAGGGTCACTTGGTTGCTGGTGAGTCCACTCGTAGGAGCTGGGTCCAGCCTCGAGGTTTAAGGAGCGCGATCCAGAGGCACTGTTGGGAAGGGATGCTGTCATGTCGTAGAAAGGAGGCTGCAACATTGGACTGTGGGTGTGCCAGTGCTGTGAAGAGAAGACAGGCATGAACACACACTCAAAATGTGGAGAGAAAGGTAACAACTCCCAGGCCCTTGCAGACAGCAGTCGTGGGCCGAGCTGGACCTGGGTACAGTGGCTGTATTGTACAGGGGTTGTGGGTATTGCTTCATCTGGGTAACAGGAAGCGGAAAGACTAAAGGTTCCACATAGTTGACTGCCACATTGATTAGCAGTATCCAGAAGAAATAGTATGCAAAAATACATAGGTAGTCTGTAAATATAATATAAAAGGAAAAATAAATAGATAAAACAGTATATTTATTTATCCCAATACATATTCAGGCTACATATTCAGGCTATTGTCATTTAACACCTTTACCAGTTAAGGAGATTTTTTTTTTTCAGAGCTGGAATATTGTGCTACACAGGCACTCTACCACCGAGGTACATCCCTAGGGAGATAGTTTGCTTTTATTTTCAGGGGGGAGCCTTCTCAAATGTTCACAGTTTATCCTACTTGGAAGCTAAACCACCATTGAAGTTATTTGATTTGATGTAGACTTACATAAAATTTCTAACAGAAATATTTATAACTACCATGTTCCATTTTCTTAAAATATACATAGAAACTTCCCAATATGTGGTACACATACTGATTTTAAATTTTAATAAAAATTAAAAGTGGTGTAGGCACAAGTGAAGCTGAGAGTTCCCACGTTGTAAAGAGACATAATTGTCACTTTTTTAGGTCAAGAAATGCTCCTTGTGTTTTAACAAATTAGCTGAAATTTCTGACTATTTTAACCAGAGGATAGGATTACCGTGAGACAATCTTCCCACGCAAGCTCAGCTGGACCAAAAGATAAAAGATCCTGGGAGACTGTAGAGTCAGGTGAGACTTCCTTGCTGATATGTATCTAGCCATCATTTAGGAAAGTTTTCTCCAGAAGTGAAAGCATCATTTTCCAGGAAATTCCCTGACTGCTTATGAATTGAAAATGGATGTTAAAAAAAAAAACCTAAAGCTTATATATATATGTTAGGTATTCATAACAGCTTCTGAATAAAAACAAACAGAAACAAAACAACAAAAGTTAGTCTCATACCTGTCACTAGTAAACCTATGGTTTGCTGAGTAATATCCCGGAACTTACATTATTTCACTTATAAAACAAAGAGTTGTGAGGAAAATATTCTAAAATCAAAAACCACGATTAAGATTTCTAGGCTACAGCCAAACTATGGAGACCTTTAAACCGCAGTTCCTTTTAGTAACTGAGAACTTTCAAGCGGCTTTTTAGACAAAAATACTTAAATGTGATTGATGGTCACACATTGGATATTACACACTGGGAGAAAATCTCCTTTCCTAAGAACATCTTTGGCAATGGTCACTCTCTGGGGATGTGGGATTCAAGGGTTACTTGGTTACTGCTGTCATTGCTATCAACTGCCTGTTACAGCTGAGCACTGAGGTCTTCCGCACAGGATTTCTCATGACCATGTCTGAGCATGCGCTGGGCCACAGTCCGCACTGGTGCCAGGTCCAGATTTCAACACAAAATATTAAGGATGGGGTTTGTAAATTGTACACTGAAACAAACGCATTTCACACGTACCGTCTTCTGAAAGAAAAAATACTCTTGAGGTAAAGCAGCATTCGCAATTGGGAAAAAGTGCATGGGGAACGAGGATCTGCCCAGCATTTCATCATTCCTTTGGAAAGAAGAGAAACAAGGGCATCTTAAATTTCCAAGGTACAAAGGTCATTTTCTCATGAAAAAAAAAATTGACTGCCTTATGTAAATAGAAGAGAAGAGTTCTCTGGTAGCCTTTAAGAATAAATGCTTGGAACATACACAAATAATGTATTATTTCACTGATGATGTAATGACATGGTATTACATTAATTACTTAGTTATAAAGTATTGAATCTACAATATTTAGAATCACATTTGGCTTTCTATAAGGAACACCTTAGGTTATGTTACATTTGATAAAAGGAAACACTCAGATATGAACATAACAAAGCAAATGCCTTGCACTCACTAAAAAAAGATCAGTTTTCTATAGCTAGAAAAGCAATGTGGAATTTCTATCACTTTAGTTTTTCTATCTTTACAATTTAACTAAAATGTTATGTGCCTAGACTGCTGTTTTAATATACTTGATGTCTGACAAATTAAGAGAATAAAGCCCATATTTATTAAAAAACATGCATTTGATTACCTGAAGCTGTGTGAGTGTATCTTAACGCAGCTCTCAAAACTTTGGCTAGCTGGTTCAGAAGAGCGAGAACTACCTTTAACGAGACAGAATTAAAGAAAATAAAATAGAGAAGAAATATTATTTCATGACACAATTATTTGGAGTTTGAACATTCTAGCATTAGGTCAAAAAGTCATCCAAAACCTCAAATCTGGTAGTTCTGAATGATGGCTCAGCATTTGAGAGACTGAGGCAGGAGGATCCAGAGTTTCAGGTTAGCTTGAGATGTATATACTGAGACCCTGTTATATAAAAACCAAACAAAACCAAATATAAAACCCTACCTTTTTAGCATTCAAAATTCTGTCCTAGTTAAGACATATGCACATAAAACTTATATCTAGATTCACATTTACAGATTTTCTACAGGATTATAAATGACTGGGTAAAAATTGAACTGTGTCCAAAAGCCATGGACAGATATGAAGATTATTACACAGGCATGGGACTATGTGAGATATATAATGTTGTTTTATTGCACATTACTATAAATTAAAAGTGGCACACTATCACTGACACTTGCTTCCAGAGTACAAAACATGAGTTCCCTAAGCATGGACAAAAGCCAACTCAACTTTGCACAAAATGCATCAGAACATAACACACCCAAGATTATTCTACCAATTGGTAGAGAGGTGGCGGGGGGCGGGGGGCAAAGAGAAAGGCAGAGACAATTTTCCTTTTGCAAGAAGACATGGTTTTTGTTACTGCTGACTTTAGTAGATCAATAATAATAATAATAATAATAATAATAATAATAATAATAATACATCAATAAGCCAGCACCATCCTGGGTAGGCCCCAGAGTTACATAGATACCCTCCATCAGTCCTTTCTCAGGCTGCAAACATTCTCTGTACTTCTTATTCATAGATGACTAGTTCATGATGTGTATAGCAGATGTCTTTTAAGTTTTAAATTCAGGCGCTAGAAATGTTCATAGAATGGTTTCCCAAGAAAGACTAACTGGGAAGGACTTTCTTCAAGATAACAGGTACTTGAGCAGTGTCAAAAAGGTAAAACAGTCTCATTATAAAATTTAGTTATTAGTTTTTAATTCATGTAGATTTTCAAGTTGCTAGCAACCTTTATAGGTACTTCTTGCTTGGTTCTGAAATAGAATTTTAAAAGTTTTGATACAGAAGAGAAAAGGTTGGTTTGGTAATTTGGTAATGTGTAATTAATTACACATTAAACATTAGATATGTACCCACCTCCAAAAGAAAAAACAACAGTGATGACGAGACACTTTTTATTGTCCTATATTATACAGAAAACAAAATGATTAAGTCCTTGAGAATAGAACCAACAAGAAAGCACATTTTGAAGACTGATGGGTGACAGAACTTACCAGATACTGCAAAAAATTAGTAGTGATGATAGAGATATTTTTTATTGTCCTACACCAGGGGTTCTCAACCTGTGGGTCAAGACCCCCTTGGGAGGTCACATATAAGATATCCTGCATATCAGATATTTACATTACAATTCATAACAGTAGCAAAACTACAGTTATGAAGTAGTAATGAAATAATTTTATGCTTGGGGGGGTCACCACAACATGAGGAGATGTATTCAAGGGTCGCAGCATTTGGAAGGTTGAGACCCACTACCCTAGATTATATAGTAAACAAAACGCTTAAGCCCTAGAGCACAGCAGTAATAAAGCACACGTTGAAGACTGATCAGGGACAGAACTTACCAAATCGATACTGCACATTAATTGGTCTTCCATACAAACGAATCCCATTCAGCAAAGCTATGGCATAAGACACAGATTCAGGATGCTTGAAGCAGACAAAACCAAAGGACTTTGGCTTTCCATCTCTATCTTTGCAAAGAGTCACTTTAGTTAGTGGCCCGGCCTGTAAGAAACTAAAATTATTTTCTCATAAATCCAAAGATTTTGTTTTTACATTAAGATAAATTAAATAAATTCAAGTTTGACTACAAAGAACAGTCATAAATAGCTCCACATATAATGCATCTTCCCAATAAACAGCACAGCTACTTACTTATGCAAACTTTCTAGCTCATCAAAACATTTATGGAAAAGGAATTTACAATGTATAGTTCAAATATTACAAAGAAAGAAAGACTATCTTTATTTTCGGCTTTACAAATCAACTTAGAGAATATTTGAATCTCAGATTAAGATAGAACTACCTCTTTGCACATATTAGCCGTATTTAACTGAAAAGTAAATTGTAATGAGAAAAATCATGTTGGTTGAATTGGTTGCTGTCAAAAAGTACGGCGACATGACAAGATGGACTCATTTTTCCTGCTTAGGAACTGCAAAAGGTCTAGGGTGTTGGCTCAGTGGGGAAAAGTGCTGCCACTTTAGTGTGAGGACTTGAGTTTGAGTCAGCAGAATGCAAATTCAGAAGCTAGAGGATAAGCCAGCCTGGGGTATACACAGAAAACATGACTCAAACAAAGGGGAAACTCAAGGACCAACTTAAGTGTTCTCTGACCTCCTTATTCACAGACATGAATGCTTGTATACACACACACACACACACACACACACACACACACACACACACACACACGTGTGCGCTCATATGTACACATACCTGCATATACTACAGTGTTTCTAGGAGAAACTAAATCTATTATGCATTTTGATTCAGTAACACTGCTTCATAAATATGCTCATAGGAAATCTATCTGATTATGTTTAAGAACTGGTAGAATAGGTAAGCTATTCATAAGAGAGAACAATTTAAAAAGTAGCAACTAGAAATATTATTCCGTGGTGAATTCTTAAAACAACATAAAATACCACAAATTTTAAGTTTCAGAATTTGCAGCTACAAAAACTGTAGTGCATAATACAAAGCAAGGAAACAAAGCTAAATATTAGTGAACAGTGTTAATCACACCTCAGGGGAAAAAATACATCAATTAATTACCTCCATCATTGGAGGATATGTTCACAAGGCCGGAACGGACTTAGAGCTGCATACTTTAATAATTATTTTTCTCTGCAGAGTTGGATAAATATACACATAGTTGCCTTTTATCCATAAGAAGGTAATGCCATGCTTAAAACAGTGCTGTACCTTCGATTTCAGTCTTTCTTCTCTGAATGCTTTGCCCAGGGATTAGCTCATGCTCCCTTTCTCTGAACAGGAGGAAGTTAGGGAACGATTTCCCCATGGCTGCCTCTCTATGAAGACAGCTTCCTGAGATGCTGTGTCATGGAACTTCATACTCAATACATTTGAAACTGCAATCATTGTCTTTCTCCTACTCTAAATCCCTAATATTTCCTGGTAAAAAGGACAAAAATGTATTTGAATTTAAAAAAGGATATTGAGAAATTTGAAATAGATTATAAAAAATTCATATAGTAATAAAGGAATTATTCTGTGTTCTAGTTTTTATTTTCCTCTACTAACATTACAGTATGCAGTAGCATACAAAGACAAGATTTACTTATAAACCTAAGCCCAAACTCCTTATTTCCTGAGTGCTGGCAGCTGAGCCTAGAAGCATGTGAATGCCAGGCAAATGCTAATCACTGACCCACACTCCCAGTTCCTATATAATATTTTTAAAGGTAAAATTCAACTGGCTTTTCTGAAACCAATAATTACATGACATTCTTTTACAGTCAGAAGGAGACATTTTCAGGGCAGCTGAAATGGGGTTTTGCTCCTTGCTCCTGTTTCTAATCTTACATCTTTCAAATGATCCTTTACATTAGCAGACTCTCCATGGGCAAAGTGAAAACATAGGTTTACTGCTCGACCCATTAAACAGGATCTAAATTTTAATCAAGGGGGAAAAGGAAGTCATAAAAGAAGTAAGGAACTCCTATATATTGCCTTTCCTATGCACACAACTGCTGCGGACCTAGCTCTTCCTGACTAGATAGCTCAGGTGTCAGAGGATTTGCAATCCCACAAACCATCACTCCTCACCGTCTCCCTTGGAGGCTCAAGAGGAAAGCTTTCTGGAGAGCTAAACTTACTCCTTTTCCCAACAGTGATTTTCAAACCCTATTGGGTCTTAAAATAACGATGTTTTTAGAGGGAAAACTTTTAAATGGCAATGGATAAAGATAAAAGTCTTAAATATATAATTTTAAATAATAAAAATGTTAATGTTTAAAAGGGGAACTCTCCATGGGTAGCAAAGGCATGCTTTACTAGAGTTTAGAGACAAAGTAAGTACTTTAAATATTATTTAAAACAACAACAACAAAAAATCCTTCCATGGCTAGTATCCAAACTTCATTCTCCAAATGCATCTCTGTTATTGTGTCCCTGAGAATTTTCCCTTATTTTGAAAATTCAAGTCACTCTTGATTTCTTTTTATTATTCTATTAATAATAATATTTATTATTAGTATTATTACCAATAACGATAGTCCTATTAGTAGCAGTCAACAGCACTGGCTGTAGCTGTTTTATTGAGCTAAGTTAGTTTCTGGCAATTATATTACATTTCAGACCCTATTACTCCCATTTGACATTATAGGGCACCACATACGGAGACTCAAATATTGACTGAATCCCCCACCCCCACCCAGCCACACGACCTCAGCGCTCTTACTGTCAACAGCTTTTGCATACTATTTACCTGTCTGTTTTGCAGATTGACATAAATCATGGGAAACAGTTCGGATTTCCCCCGTTAAAGCCTCCTGTGGGCACTTGAGTTTGCTCTATTATTCTGAGTCATTAACCAACTAGATGAGGGGCTGAAGACGCCCCTCTCATAAAGCTCCCTAAGGAGCATGACCAGGGAACCCAGCAGTTAGTCACCGAGAATTGATTGCCTAGCATTTCAGTAATCACTTGTATGATTCTAGAATAAACAGCTCTCCCCATCAAAAGGCTTGGGAGAAAGGGTAATGGCCAGGGACGGGTATCATTTTTTTTTTTTTTTCCAGGTTGGACATAAGGGTGCTTACTATCCCATGAGGACAGTGACGGGGTTGTATTGTGTGCCCGCAGCACATCCAGGGCCCGCAGAGGCTCGGGGAGCCCTCACCAGGGGGGCTGGCAGGCTGGAGGGCAGGGCTGGGAGGTCGTTGCCCACCCGGGGGCTGCAGAGGAGGCGGGACAGAGAAGCCACTCATCCCCGGAACGAGCACTTTGTGTGTGCTGCCCAAGCGAAGGAAGGGAGACCCGGGCTCCGGTGGGGCGGGGTCCCGGGGCTCCACAGCCGCCGCCCGGCCTTCCCCGCGGACGGTACCTGAAGGAACAGCTCGTAAAGAATCTCTTCCCGTACTCGGGCCTCTAAATTGCCCACAAACACGGTCCTGTCAGCCTCCTCCTGAGCCGGGAACATCCCTGCGGTCCCCGCAGCCAGGGAGAGGGGAGGGAGGGGAGGGATGGAAGCCAGGCCGAGGCCCCGCCCCCTCGCTCCGCTTTCCTGCGCGGCCCCGAGAGGGCAGCGGAGCCGCCGGAGCCGGACGCGCGCCGGGAGGGGGCGGGGCGGCCACGCCCACACGCCCCCCCCCCGCGGGAACCGCCCACCACCCCGCCAGCCCCGCCCCCATCCGGCTGGAGACCCCGCGACTGGCCTGAGGGCTTCACCTGCATACTTGGCACACAGTGCCCCTGGTCTCTTCCTGAACGAGATTAAAGATTAATTTTAGGTTCTTTCAAGAACATGTTTGCAATAACATGACTAGAAAGGTGATTTAAGATGGACTAACGTCACTATAGGTATGCTTAGAGTAATGTGAAAAGTTAATTTGTCTCTAAAGAGTAAATGGGAAGATCACTAACACGGTAAATTTGTTATTGTTAAAGTACAATCTAAAGAAAACTACTTGCATAGATATTGATAGCAGAGAGAGTTAAACTTAGTATTTATTTATCCTTTAAGTGATCCCAAGACAGGTCTTTGAAAATATTATGTGGGCTCTGAAAGGTCACTGTACTCAGGAAAACACCGTGAATCATTGGAAAATGACTACCGAGGACCCTAAAATCGTCCGGGAAAGATCATTCAGTAATCAGATCACGACTTGGTCTTTAGTTGGTAGAGAGATGGGAATTTATGAGACCTGCTTCTGCTTGGTTGATTGATCAGAAAATTCTTTTCTAAAGAAAAGGAAATAGTTGAGAAGCTCTTACAGAAATGTTCAACATCCTTAGCCATGAGGGACATGCAAATTAAAACTACTTTGAGATTTCATCTTAACACAGACAGAAGGGCCAAGATCAATCAGACAAATGACAGAACATGCTGGCAAAGATGTGGGTAAAGGGGAACACTTACCCATTACTTGTGGGAGTCCAAACTGTCTCAGCCACTATGGAAATCAGTGTGGCAGTTTCTTAGGAAGATCTGCCTCAAGATCCAGCTATACTCCTAGGAATATACCCAAAGTACCCTACATTCTACTACGACATCATCCATGTACATTGTTGCTCTATTCATAATGGATAGAAATTAGAAACAGTCTAGGTGTCCATCAACTGATGAATAGATAATAAAAATGTGGCACATTTATAAAATGGAATATTATTCTGCTGCTAGATGTGAAATTAGGAAGTGTCCAGCTAAAGAGATGGAACTAGAAGCAATCACCCTGAGTGAGGTAACACAGACACACACACACACACACACACACACACACACACACACACACACATACACACACACAAAAAACCAAGGAGACACACACACACAGAGACACACGAAAACAAACGTTTCCTATTGTGTGTTTTCTCTCATGTGTGGATGTTAGTTTTCAAGCTATCAATATGTATGCTATAATCTGAATAATCATAGAGACATATACTTAGTATGGAACCAGAAGGAAGAGAGAATATTCCAAGGAAAGAAAAATAGAATATGGTGTTAACAGGAGAGATAAAGGAGAAACCAGAATAGGAGTGCTAAACGGGGAAGGGGAAAGAGCAGAGTGAAGAGGAAGTATGGGGATGCTGAAAGCATTTGAAAAACCTATGGGAACCTACTACTGTAGAACCTTACAAAATTTATACATACATATATGAAAGAAATTTATATAGAGTCACCAACTAATAGGAGAGATAATACTCCAACTGGACAACTTCTGCCACCAAGTAAAACTCCCAGGTCCAGGGATGGGTTACAGCTTGTTGAGTCATTGGCCACAGGGATCTATCTCTACCTGTCATCCCAAATAGCGTTTGCCAAGGCTATCGGTTGTTCTTCACAGCTTGATGGTTAGATCCTATTGCTGAGGACAACATTGACCTCATCAAACACACAGAAGTTGAGCTGGTTCCCCCGCTGGAAGCTTCACCCTTCCCGAATAGCATTCGTGGTGCTGGAACTTACTCTATAGAGTAAGGAAAAAGGTAATCATCAATATTACCCAACTATAAACCCTGGGACCTATAACAGTGAACTGCCCACGAGATATACTGGTACAAGAGTGGCACAAGCCGGGTGGTGGTGGTGGTGGCGGCGGCGGCGGCGGCGGCGGCGGCGGCGGCGGCGCACGCCTTTAATCCCAGCACTCGGGAGGCAGAGGCAGGCGGATCTCTGTGAGTTCGAGACCAGCCTGGCCTATAGAGCGAGATCCAGGAAATGTGTAAAGCTACACAGAGAAACCCTGTCTCAAAAAACCAACAAAACAAAACAAAACAAAACAAAAAACCCAAAACAAAACAAAGAAAAAAGAGTGGCACAAATGTCATGGGATCACCAACCACTTTTTGATTGGATTTAAGGTCCACCCAATGAGACGGGACTCCTTCCTGACATGACTAAAGTGGCCAAGAACCCGATTGGATAGCTTATAGACCTACTTTTATTTCACAACTCTCTGACTCTGAATGACATACTGTTACTACTCATAGATCAGCGCCTCACTCAGTCTTCACCAGAGAAACTTTTTCTTCCAGTAGATGGGAATTAACACAGCGACCCACAACTGGACCATGTGCAGAGAGGTAAGTGACTTGACAGCAGTCAGTCCTAAAGTGGATGTCTTCAAAAGCCCCTCCCGGTTGAGGCTCAGAGATCGATGAGGGAGAAAGACTTGTAAGAGCCAAAGATGGCGGATGGCTCCAAGCCAACAGCAGCATCTGCATACCACAGGAGTGACAAACAGGAAAATCACAGAGACTGTAGCAGCATGCAAAGGACCTGCACAGGTCTGAGCTAGATGGGATCCCAGCACTGACAGGGGGAAGTTGACATGGCCCTCCACCTAACCAGGAAGCAATTTGTGATTAATACCTGCTAGTGTTGCTAATGTTTTCCTGCCTGGCCCACAGTCAGGACAAGTTTCTGACACCCGCCAGTCCCATAGCCATTCAGACCCGACCAAGTAAACACAGAGACTTACATTGCTTACAAACTGTATGGCCGTGGCAGGCTTCTTGCTAACTGTTCTTACAGCTTAAATTAATCCATTTCTATTAATCTATACCTTGCTACGTGGCTTGTGGCTTACCGGTTCTTTACATCTTCCTTGTCCTGATGGCGGCTGGCAGTGTCTCTCTCACCCAGCTTCCTGTTCTCTCAATTCTCCTCCTTGTCCCGCCTATACTTCCTGCCTGGCCACTGACCAATCAGTGATTTATTCAATGACCAATCAGCAACACATTTGACATACAGACCATCCCACAGCATGCTAGCAAAGGGAAATTCAGTTTTCTCCAATGTAGTTGTCACTGGTGTATCAGCCCCAATCCAGGGCAGGCCCCATGCCCAAGGGTAATTGTCCAACACAAAACAAACTCCCTTTTTGTGGGCTTTTTATTTTGCTTTGGCATTTTTGTCATACTTGTTTTTTTAATTTATTTTTTAGTTTTTGTTGATATACGTGTATGCATACATACACACATACACACACAAACACACACACACACATATGGAGACAGAGAAAGAGAGAGAGAGAGAGAGAGAGAGAGAGAGAGAGAGAGAGAATGAAGTTGGGTGGGTAGGGAGCTGGAGAAGATCTGGGAGGAGTTGGAGGAAGAGAAAACATCATCAAACTATATTGCATAAAAGTATTTTAATAAAAAGATACATTTTAGGAAAACTTCATTTCTTCTCTAACTCTGACATATTTAGTTGTGTGAGTTGGGCAAATAACGACTTTGGAATTCAGATTGTTTCTAAGGAATGGATTGGATCAAATGAATTATTTCATCCAGCATTTAGTTTTTGAATTGCTTCTTAGGTGTCAGGAACTGTTTTTAGTCCCCAGAACAAAGGTCACTATAGAAATCTGGATAGTTGGAGAGACAGGCTTTATCTAGATAATGCAGGTTCCAGTAGCTTTAGTAGTTCCCTTGGGTGTTACTTCTCAAGTCTATAAATATTGTCTTTCTTTTTCTTCCTTCCTTCCTTCCTTCCTTCCTTCCTTCCTTCCTTCCTTCCTTCTTTCTTTCTTTCTTTCTTTCTTTCTTTCCTTTATTCTCAAAATAAATACAGTACAGCAAGAGGGTAAGAGAAGTAAGTCAAATGAATCAGCACTTGAAACTTTCCAGTCTGTGTAGATCTCTTACATATTTATATGTATTTACTTAATAAATCTAATCCAAACCAAGATCTTTTCTCCTTAACATTTATGCATATTCAGTGTTTACATATAACTGTGAACATTATAAAACTTTGTGTTTCCAAATAACTAGTGATGATATTATATCATATGAAATATGTGCTATTCTTTGTATACATATGTGAATGTTCCTAGTGTCTTAATGGGCCCTATTCTTTTCTGGCTCTATATACATTTTTAGTCTTTATAGTTTTAGAGTTCTTATTCACCATTCTGAGATTAAGCTCATGCACTTATATATTTACTCAGGCTTAGATCTCAACAGGTAATTTTTTTCATGTCAGTACATTGTATTTTCTCACTCATGTTGAGTGAACGACTCTAGGAAATGTCAAATGGAGTTTGATCGCAGTGTTTATTAGCCCCATTAGTAACATATGAAGTTTTAATGAGAGCACATGAAATACTCTTTAAAGAATTACAGTCTTTACCAGAATGTTTTATACTTCTACTTACATAAACATATCAAAGTATAAATATGAATATATATGAATTTGTGTGTATATACATATACAGATTTAGACAAACAAACAGCTAGTTAGATAGGTAGGTAGGTAGATAGATGATAGATATATTGATAGATGATAGATACACAAAGGTCTAATTTCCCTTCAGCACCTCAGCCCAGGAAGTGTGTTCTGCTGGGATTGTCTCTACTGTGAAATTCAGAATAGCTGACTGCCCCACATGTGTAGTAGCATAGATCTCTTGTTATACTTTCAAACCCTCCTTATTGTGAACTACTATTGTGTGATTAAACATAAGCACCTTAGTGTAACCTGAATCTTAAAAGGTCTTATTAATAAAAACAAACCCGGAGCCAGGCATTGGGGTGAACACTGAAAGATCAGAGAGACAGAACAAGCCACCTCACCAACTTCCCAGCTGATCTTGTTTCCTCAAACCAGAAGTGTCTGAATCCTCATCCAAATGGATCTCTGCTGAACTTCTGCTAAAAGCTAAGAAAAACTTCTAGTTCCTGGTCCCCAGGCCTTAATATACCTTTCTGCCTCTTGCCATAACCTGGGATTAAAGGCATGTGTCTTTCCCAAGCAAGACCTGAGATCTCAAGTGCTGGAATTAAAGGCATGTGTCACCATGCCTGGTTGTTTCCAGTGTGGCTTTGAACTCACAGAGATCCAGATGGATCTCTGCCTCCAGAAGGCTAGGATTAAAGGAGTGTGTGCCACCATTTCCTGGCCTCTATGTCTATCTAGTGGCTTTTCTGTTCTCTGACCCCAGATAAGTTTATTAGGACACACATATATTGGGGGGACACAATATCCCCACACCTTAATCAGATCCTGACACACCTGTGACTATATAATGAATACCTGTTGAAAAGGTACCTCTTGAAAAAAGAAGCATCTTCACAGTGCATCTTCAACAACTAAGTCTATGGATATCAGACAGCACTTAGTAAAAGTTGTGTAAATGATTGTACAGATAAATGAATTAATGAATGGAAAAACTTGGAAGTTTTCTACAACCATGAATTATAATATGTATACACTATTTAATCTTCACAGTACACATAATTAGAGAAATTCTTTCTTGTTAGACATTTACAGTTTCCACTTGGGGGCTACTGTAATGGTGCTGAGATGAACACTTTGTTCTCATAATTTTGTGCATGTGTGATTTTATTATGGCATGGAAAGAACTTACAGTTCTGTAGCGATGTCTTTTGGATGTTTAATTGCTGAGTCAGATGCTAACTTTTTTTTTTAAATTCTTTTTATGTTTTTAGCAGTTCTTGTCACTGTCTGGCCTCAAACTTGAAATGTAGCCATGGCTGATCTTAAACTTCTTTTGTACCTATCTCCTCCTCCTAATTGCAAGGTTTACAGTGGACCGCAGTCATACGCATTTATGTGGTATTAGGGATCCAACCTAGAGTCTGGCACATGCTCTAGGTCCATACTCTACTAACAGAACTACCTCCCAGCCTTTGCTAAATATTTTAAACAGAATTTATATAAATTAAATAAAATTTTCTCCCAAAGTACATTCTGAAAAGCGATCTACTCAATACATATTACTTAGCCATTATAACTACTGTTCAAGTGCTTAGAAGCATGCCTGTTGCACAGAGATCCATTAATCGTACATGTTTGTAAAATACCATCAACACGACCTTCTCTGTGACGTTGCTTATTTTGTACATGTATCTCTAAGGTTCCTCCTCTCATATAGTATGTCTGAGTAGGAATAAAATAAATACACAGATATTACTAAAACCTACTGGCATATTTCATATTATATTATCATCTGCTGATGTTTTACTAGGCATTAATAACCCAATGTTCTCATGTTGAAAGCAAGAAAATTATATGATAATGAAGGGATGACATTTCATATTTTGAAACTCTGCTAAATACTGTACTATCTGAAACCTAAAACTCATATGATGGGGTCAGAATGATAGCAATGAAAATATTATCATAAGATAGTTTCACTTTACAAGAACAGAAACAAAAATGTAAATTCAGGCTGTGGTGGTACACACCTTTAATCCCAGCACTCTCAAGGCAGAGGTAGGTAGAACTCTATGAGTTAGATGTCAGCCTGGTCTGTAGAGCTAGTTCCAGGACAGCCAACACTACACAGAGAAAAAGGAGTCTCAAGAAAAGATAAATTGTGTCTTTAGGAAAGAGTTTTCTTCTAGTCTATTAAGTATAATCTTTTTAAAACCATGTTTTCCATGTACTGCATACACTGTGTTCCTCCCTTCCCAAATAACATGGCTATTCACTTTTCTGTTTTTTTCTTTTTGCGATGTACAGCTATTAACAGCTGAGTGTGGTGGGGGTGTCAACATTCTTTTATTGCCACAAAACAAAATACAGTGAATTCATTCCTAAAAACAGTCTCAATAAAACTCCTAAAGGTCAAACACTTCAAATTAATGAGGGGTTATCAGCAGTCACGTGCCCCAATTTCAAAATAAGTATCCCATGTTTGGGGATTTCTAAAGCGTATCTCCAGACTTCAGATTAGTGTCTGTTAATCGATGTAAATCAAACAGTCCATTTTCACTGTATCATTGAAGCTTTCCCAAGGCATGTGTTTTCTAAAAGGAATTTTGTTCTGAAGTTGTGATCTGTGTATGTAGAACAGCTACTGCTTTCTCAACATTCTTTCTGGGAAAGAAAATAAGAGGAAAACTAAAACAAGCATGTGAAGAGAAAACCAGTAATAATTTTTAAATGTTTGTCATATTAAAAACAAAAGTATTTTTCCTTTTCAAATTTTAGCTCCAAGAGACAAGCTAGAATCTAACATTTAAAATAGCCACTATCTTTTAGATGCATAATGACATACACATGAAAAGCTGGACAGCTTCATGGGTGTGGATTTTGTTATTGATTTGTACCTCTGTGAAGAATTTAGTTTGTAATCAAAATGATGATAAAACAAAACTTTCCCTGACTTTCTATTTCTGGTATTCTAGTAACATACATTTTAAGTATGCTTTCCATAAACATATCCTCCCATGCCACTTCTGAAATCCTGAGGTTAAGGAGTAAAGACATCTACAATTAGGTTTCCCACTCCCTTAAATACTATTTGTGTAGCTGAACATTTGTGAGTTATAACAGAGTCTCCAGCTTAAACATGATCTCCTAACACAAGCCAGTAGGAGACAGCCCCACTCCCTCACCTTTTGTGGATGGAGGAGGAGCAAAAGCCATTTTTACAGGAAACCTCACCCGACAGAGACCGTCCTATCCACCAAGAACCTTAATGAATTACAGAATTTCTTTTTGGTGAATCCCAGTGTTTCTCTTACAGTTTCTGATTCCAAATGAGAATATACATTTTCCTGTGTTTGATGTGCTGGATAAGTTTTGGTAAGATGTTTGTTAATCACTTATCATTAAAATGCCTGTAAAATAGTTAATATGACGTGTATTCTGTTATGCCATTGTAGTGTGAAAAATTTGCTGATTATGGTATTTATACCAAACCAGATTGCTTTTAAGAGGGTTATGTGTGTGTACTTATATAGATGTGCATGTGTTTGCTAAACTGGAGCTCTATGTTGTATTCATTTGTCTGAAGATTAGAAGCTAGAGAACAAATATTCAAACAGGGAATAAGTAGAAACATTCAAGATAAGAAGTAATTAAGCAGTAAGGAATTAGTTCAAGGTCTGAAAATTATGACTTACTATAAATCTTGCTTTCACGTTTGAAAAAAATTATTGAATAGGTAATTCACCAGTTGCAAAGGAAAATTATCAATACAGAAGGACTTTTCTTTTTCTTGTTTCACATAATGAAAGTTCCAAATGGCCCAATGGTTGTAAGTGAGAACTGTTGATAATGGTAATAAAGCTTACTAATGTTAGTAATGTGACTTTCTGCTTTATGGATGAATGTCTTGTTCTAGCCTGGAAGAGAATGAGTTGTTGGTTATGGTTGAACAATCCATTCTACCTTCTGTAAATGAAAACAGTAGCAAATTCGTAAGTCGAGATGAATAATAGCCCTTTGGTGGAATTTTGTGAAAGATTATTTTCTTTATGTCTTAAATATCTTTTATAAATTCATGACTATGCACACTCTAAAAACCATAATACACCAAGTAGAAATTAATATTTTGCTTTTATTTTCAGTTGAGTATTTGAACTAATCACAGTTTTTGGAAGCATTTGAGAATCTAGGCAATAGTGCATAGTTTATATTGTAAATTTTACTCACTGGGATATTCTTTTAAAAAGACATTTTAAGTTTGTGATTCATGGTATCAGCATCTTGACTTGAAAGCTAGAGAAATTTGAACTCTATGCCACCAGACTTAGTTATACTCTAATATCATAGTTCATAGTAATTTTGATATCATAGTTAGCATGCTTTGGCACAGATGTTCAGAGATTATTGTTTTGACTAGAATTAGCCAGTTTCCTAAGTTTTCAACAGGGAAAATAGTTATAATTGTTAAATATTTTTTTGTTTCTGTCAAAAGTTTGGCTCATTTGTGATGATTACTAAAATAGAATATCAAAACTTTTAGATATTAACAACAAACAGGAAATAAAAAATTAAAGATTTTTATAATTTAAAAGATCTTTAGTTAGCATATGTAGACTTAAGTTTCTTTCTTTTAAAAACAATCTCCAATCAATTAGGAGATTTTGCTGGATTTTCAGTAGCCTATTCCTTTTAATTATCTTCCATTCTGCTTATACACAGTTTGCCTTTCTATAGTTGGTCTCTCGTGTCAACACTGAACATCATTGATAAGGTCTGCTCTCTACAAAAGGAAAAATATTCCAGGAAATTAAAATGAGTAAAACATTTAAAAAGTATTTATAGACTACAAGACAGGTAGAAAGATAGCTAAACAGATCATATAAAGGAATTTATCTACATGTGTATTCAAATTATATGCACTTGTATTTTTATTGTAGTTGTTAATGGCTAAATTTGCAGTTTTGGGTTGTTTCTGTTATAAGGATAGGAAAATATTGTTTCTGTATTTAAGATAGGAAAATATTTCTGTTAGGGGCTAGATAGTAAATAGTTGAAGTTTCATGGATCATAGAGTCAATGATGTGTCTTTTCAGCTCTGCTATCTGACTTTGAATGAAACTTTAGGCTCAATGAAAACAGAGCAGTGTGGGTCTGTTCACAAAGCTTTATTCAATTTATTGAATTAGTTATAATTTTTAAATATCACAAAATTACTATTTTATCTTTTACATTCATATAAAATTAAGAAAGTTGAGGCTAGAGAGACAGCTCAGTGGTTAAAAGCTCAGGCTGCTGTCCCAGAGGACCTGGGTTCAATTCCCAGCATCCACATGGCAGCTTACAAGTTGTGACTCCTGTTCCAGGGGATCTGACATCGTCACACAAACATATATACAGGCAAAACACCAGATAAACATAAAATATAAATAAATAAATAATTTTAAAATATGATATTATTCTTAGATTACTAACCAAATTTGACTTTCATGACATAGTTTGTGAATTCCTGTGTTTTAGTCCTGTGGGAGACATATTGAAGACAGGTTAATTCATTTCTTCTTTTCCATGTCATAGCTGAGAAAATTGAGACATATAGATTTGGAGTCTTTTTTTTTCTCTAAAATTAGAGACCTTGCCCTATGCTGTATAGTTTAAATAAGAATTTGGTTAAAATGTAAATTATTTTTTTAATTTAAATTTTTTAGTATTGCATGCATAAGTACTATATTTAAATAATTTCCACCACATCGTCTCTACTTTTATATCCCTCCTTTATATCTACTAGCTCACTCACTGAGGACTGCAATTCTTCATTTGAATAAAGCACCCATCTCATTATTGCACTCCCAAGAAGCACTGCATAAATTTTAATAGGAATATTATGGCAAAAACCCAGAGGCCACGATGTTTCCAGGAGATAGCTGAATATTAATAGTGATCCAGGGAAACATTTGGTGCTACACTTCAAGATGAGTAGAAATGTCTAAAATATAATTTTAGAAAGTGTTTCCATTTATAATATGATGAACATCTCTCTGTCCATGTAGAGAACAGTTCAATGCAGCAGCCACCCTGGAAGCAGTATAAACTCTGCATTCAGTTGTAGTATTACCGCAATGTATAACTAACTGCCAACCAAACATTGTGAAATTGTACAATTATTTAACCACTATGAATTTGTTTTCATATATACAATACAGATGTATGTATCTGCACGTACATATGTGCAGCGGTTTTCTGCTACACAGTTTTGGGCTTCCTGCATTCTTAGCTTATACAACCCTGAAAGTCATGAGGCAGATAATCCTTTCTCAGCTGTTGTCAAGTGAGATTGAATTTGAAGCCAAAGATTGTAATAGTAGATGAGAGAGCAACCCCCCCCCCCCCACCTTTTTGGTTTTTTGAGACAGGGTTTTTCTGTGTAGCTTTGGAGCCTTTCCTGGAACCCACTCTGTAGACCAGGCTGGCCTTGAACTCACAGATATCCACTTGGCTCTGCTTCCCGAGTGCTGGGATTAAAGGAGTGCGCCACCATCGCCTGGCTTGAGAGAGAGCACTTCTGTCTCCTCCTTCCATTGAGTGGCGAGAACACCATTCAGTTAAGTAAAATAAATGAGAAAAATTTGTCTCAAAGAGGATGAAAATGGACTGACGGTTCCATGGAGCATTGAAGGATAACAGACAAGGGCGGGGGGGGGGGGGGGGGGGGGGTAATTCCAACAGATGCAACAGTACAGTTAGATACGAAGAATGAACTGTCTTATCTGTTAAATATTAGGCGGGCATTACCTAAAAAGATGTACTGTGCAGTACCATATAAGAAGAGGATCTTCATTGTTATCACCACAAATAAGTGGTAAAGAGAGGTTGTATATATGAATCCTCCTGATTGATCTTTATACATGATAGATGTATTCAAACATTATATTACATACTTCTTTTGATTTATCTTAGATGTTCTGTTTCATGGGTTTGACTTTGTAATGGGTAACACAAAAAATCATTGTAATCAGACTTCATTATCTGTAGTCTGGCATTCATTTGTCTTTTGCCTAAATTTCCCCATCCTTCTTATGGCTAAGTTCATAACTTAGAATTGTACTGTACATGTAAGGAGTTTTAGTAGAATTAATCCTGAATACATTTGGACCATGATATATCTCCATGTTTAATCAAATCTTCTCTGCTGTTATGTAAAATACCTTTGCCCTTCAGTATTTATTTTATGTGAATATGTATCCCTTATCTTTATTCCAGTCTTTTATTATTTTCTTTCCTGTGGTCTCCTCCTCTAATTCTTCCTCTGTATCCTCCTTCTTCTGTTCTGCTTTCTTGTATTTTTTTTAAAAAACTAGTGAACTACAGTCACCAGCACCGCTTTGAAACTAGCTGAAAATAATTTATGCTGCCCCGTTATTGAAAAGTTTTGTATCAAATGCCACTGAATCTGCATACTTTAAACATTGGATGCTTAGTGTGTCCCTCACTCCTAAAAGTATCTGCCACGAGAGCTAGGCCTAGGCCAACTGAATATTGAGATGGTCCTAGAATAGATTTAAAGAACCTTCCTCGTTAGCTAGTCAAAATGAACAAAAAACCCCAAAGCAACAAACACCTCCTGCCCCCCTCAAATTCCCAAACCAACTAAAACAAAAATCAGTTAGGGTAGGAAAAAACTTCCAAAATAAAATAAAGAAGAATTGGAAAATATAAAAGTAATTATGGAAATATTAATTGAAATTTCCATTATTTAAAAAAATTGCAGTTCAGAATTGCTATTACTTATTTAATACAAACCATTTATCTCCTATATCAATTATTCTAAATGTACTTACTCTTTCAGTTTCTATTCTCATATTTATGTTAGAAGTAAATGTCACACACAAAACAAATGATTAATACTCTTATGATTGTTAAAAACAATTCACACTGTGTCAGCAGATATTTTTATATTTTCTTAATATTTTAATAGGATAATCACTACTAGGATTTTATTATTTTAATTTAATAAGCCATACTTCTACTTTCATATGTGAAGCAATAATAGTTAAAATTCTGTTCTTTTGGTCTTGTTTTACGGTATACATTTTTGTGAGGTGATTATTCAACAATTTTGAATTTACATTGTTGGCTGAGTATGTAGTTTATGTGTGTGCATATGTGTTTATGTTTGATATTAGGGCTATTTTCGAATTGTAAGATGACTTGAAGCTAACATAGAGGTATATACCTGTAATTCCAGAATTTATAAGGTTGAGGCTGGGGGACCCTAGAGAATAGGAGTTCAAGACCATCCTAGTGAAATAACTGAGATTCTGCCTAAAAACAAATAAAAATTAAACAAACAAACAAATAAATAAAAGCTTTAATTTTTTGCATCCTTGGAAAATTGTTGGACCATTACTATTCTATATTCTTTAAAAATATTTTTTATGAAAGTGTAACTTAAATGCAGCAAAACGTACAGATTTAACTGAACGTATTGACATGTTTTGAAAAATACATGTACCATATTTTATAAGATACATAAAAATCATATCAATTGTCATGTAAAATATTTCCTATACCCCAAATGTCCTATGCCCTTTGCAATTCACTTCCTTCCTGCTTCTGATTCCACTTGACACAGATCTCCTTCCTGATACTCTGAATTAGACATCCTTCTTCTAGAATTTTATGTAAATGATTATTTTCATTTTTCTAGCCCTTTATATCTTCTTGACAATATATATATATATATACATACATATATATATATACATACATATATATATATATACTGATCAAGCTTGTCTATGTAGTAGTACTTTACTCTTATTTATTGCTTGGGGTGTAATAAATTACACAGACTACAACAACTCAACTCTTCATGTGTTTCTTTATTGGCATATGAGTTCTTTCAAAAGTAGGCCTTTATGGAAAGCATGCTATTATGAGCTTGTACATGCTTTTATGAGGATACATTTTCAGCTGTCAATGGTTAACATCTAGATATTAACTATTATGGTCCAATAAGGTGCACATTTTCATTATAAGAATTTATCAACCTGTTTTATGAATTGCTGTATCATTTTTTTTCATTTTCTTCCATAGTGTAAAAATGTTTCATAAGCTTCACATCCTCAATAATATTCCCCCTTTGTGAGTCTTTAGCATTTAGCATTTTGGTGTGTGCACAGTAGCATATTGTTTTTGTATTAATTTACATATTTTGGATGGCTAATGATGTATTGTTTCTTGGGATACTTTGCCATTATATGTGAAGTGTCTTCAATTCTTTTGCCAAGTTGAAAGAGAATGTTATTTTGTCTTCTCTTTATATGCGTAGTCCACACATGCTCTCACATTTATACATAGTTCTTAAATACATGCTTTTCATGTGCACGTATTGCTGTATATTAATATTCATGTTAATGCAAGTTAGGAAACAATCCCAATTCATTAGATAAAGTACAATTTATTTGTCTCTTTTTCTTCAAGCATATGTTTGTAACTATCCAACAAAGCCTGATGAGTCCATCGATGGGAATAGAAGCAAAGAAAATGTCTGCCTCTATCCAGGCATCATTCAGTAGGGAGGGGTAGGATCCTCTAACCCACACATGACTGTTGATGGGCTCAGTCTACTACAGGCTCATGGCAGACTGAATCATCTGTGGTGACAGCATGATTACGTTGGACATGGCATGCCAAGAAGACAGTATTTCACAGTTCTTCTCCCTGTCTCCTGGTCTTATTTCTTCCCATCCACTTTTCCTTAATGTTTCCTGAATAATCAGGAGATGATATAAATGTCCTATTTAGTCCCGAGCACTCAACCATCCCTTATTCTAAGTACTATGAGCAGTACTTTTGATTGAGGTTGGGAGTAGCATTAGCTTATAGGTATAAATGTCGATGTTTATAATGCAGCTTGTCAATTTTGCCAAACAACAGTAGTAACATCTATCTCATCTAGGTCTCCTTGTCTGTGGATTTTTGGCTGGGTGTACATTACAGACATGAATTTCTTCTTTCACAATGGGCCTCAAGTCCATTCAGAGAGAGCAGTCATTTACCCACCCCACCCCCAATAGACCTGCCACTCTTCTACCAAGTGTGTTTTTTCGGGTGGATTGGTATTGTTGTTCAGAGGGTTCACAGTGGGGTAAACCATGTTGATGGCTTGTCTTCTGAAGCAGCTGGTTAGCACCACCTGTCTCTATGAAATTGAGCCAGCAGGGAGAAAGTTTCCATAGAACTAGCTGAACCTCTCTGCATCTTCCAGTCACTGCCTGTGATGTCTTTAACAATAGGATCTTATCAACTAGATCTGGTGGACAACCAAGAGGAGAGGCAAAAGCCTGGGGTACTGAGCTCCCCTGGGGCCTCTTGGCCAATAACTAACAAGGAACTATGCCGTATCTGGCATTGGGATTTTGAGAGCAGCATTACTGGGCCTTATATGCTAACTCCCTCTCCCTTCTGAAATTCTTTCTCTCACTCTCTCTGTCTCTGTCTGTCTGTCTGTCTGTCTCTCTATCTGCTTTCTCCCTCTCAGTGATTTTAAGGTATTTCTATTTTTGGAGTTAAAAACAGAAATCTTGTGATATCTTGAATTGAAGACTTGTCTAATTTTCTATATTCCCTCTCACCTACATTCTTATTAGTAAAAGTTGGATGTGTCATAGGACAAGGATGACTTATGCTGTTAACTTTCTATGAAATTCTGCTTTACAACATTCAAAGTTAAATCAATATCTGTTTTTGACAATCACTTTCAGTATTTTAAATGAATTTCTATTGAACCTAACATTTTTACTTAAGAAGGACAACATCAGGCCTGGGGAGATAGTTCAGTGGGTAATGACCCTTACTTTGAAAGCATGAGGACCTGAGTTAGAATCCCCGGTACCCATGAAAAAGTCGGCATACCTGTGTCTATAACACTAACATTAAGTAACAGAGACAAGTGGACATTTAGAGTTCCCTTGGCTGTCAATTTAGTTAAAAGTTAAATGACTAGCTTTTGGGTTAGTGAGCTGTCCTGTCGCAAGGCAGTCAAGTTGAGAGTGATAAAGGAAGACACCTGCTGCCTTGCTGTGGTCTTCTCATGCATGCACTGAGAAGACCATACATTGATGTGCATGCACCACACACACACACACACACACACACACACACACACACACACACACACATACACACACTATCAATAAATGTAACATAATCATGTGTGAGTAGTATCTTTCAGGAAAGGCATAAGGTTGTTAGTCCCCAAGCATTTCCATTTAAAGTCTCACTTTGTACACTTTTGTCTGTCTGATTAATTGCTTCAAAAGGAAAAGCAGAAGTTATTATACTCTGTTCGTAACCTGAATTTTCTGTCTTAATATTTTTAGGGTATTTAAATTTACCATCGAAAAGCAAGAGAGCTTATAAAAATCTTGGTGAGTCTGATTGAGTGAATTTTCTCTAAATGTTGGTAAGTTTGCTGAGCTTGCAAACCAGGCCGTACAGCTCTGTCCTCGGTTAATGAAGCAACCCTCTGCTCTTCCTCCACCAAAGGACTCTCCACAAGGAACCGTGACATGTGTTAATTTGCCCAAGTTTTCTCCATCCTTTGTCTTCATTCTTGTCGTAATTTTAACACCTCCTCCCTTCATGTGTTTCTGCAGAGGGAGATTTCCCTATTTTATATGATTTTGTGATTTGAATATTTATTATGCAGTTGTGTTTTCCTTTAACTGTAGTTTTAATTGTCCTGTTCTTTACCTGATCCTGTTTTTTTTATAACTTCTAAAATTTGTCTCAATAACTTCTTTCTCTTGCTTTTGAAATGACATTGTTTTCTTATATTCTGAATAAGACTGTTGTAAAAAAAATTAGTAATTGATGCTACACCTGGTGATTGATAATTCATTTTTCTGATATCTATTTAGATGTAGGTCTTTCCTCCTTATTTACATCAGAGGGATCTTCCCATTAAAGGCAAAGTCTATCATGGCTTGTAACCAAGCAGCTGTTTGGATTATTTGATTATATTTCACACTTGTCCAAACTTGGTGATAAATGAGGTGGATGTGCATGACTCATACAGTTTGTTCAGCATAGCAAGTTTATAGCCACCATGGGTCTATACGCTCCTCCTTACTTCTTCTTTTTGCTCTGGTACTTGCTACATATACAGGATCAAAGTTCTTCTAACTGCATATCCATTGTTAATCTGGGAATATTGTGCAAATATTATAGCTTCTTAATTGGCTTCTTTCCTCTAAATTACTGTGGCATGAATGCATCTGTACTTTCAAAATTATAATTACCATAAGCATTGTATATTATGTGCAATATTAAAATAATTTTGTTAGTTCTTTTCTTTTGTTTTCTTGTGCTCAATTTTTAATTTTGAATCACTGAGATTCAAGTTTACTAATGATTTTAAAGTATTTGACAAGTGATGAAAAATTTATTTCCTAAACAGAATTACCAAATTAATGTTCTAGAAGTAGTACAAACCTATGCTCTCATAAAAAAAATCTTTTATGCTTATGCTTGTTCAATAATTCACAATTCTGGAAAACTATGAAAAGCTAAATATAAATCAGCCATTATTTCACTGCATTACAGAGATCACTGCTGTTGTAAATTTTCAGTTAGTTCACTTTCTGGCCTTTGTTCTAGGATGGGTCGATTAATAGATTTTATCATTGCATTCTCTCAGCATTCAATATATGTATTTTGTGTATCTACGCTCATCAATATTGGAACAATTTCTTTCCTCTTTCTCTGTCCTCTTTTTCTCTCCTCTTTCTCTTTCTCTTCTCAGGTTCTTGCTATCTCACCAAGGCTAAGCTTGAACTGAAGGTACTTCTGCCTCACACTTTCAAGTGCTGGTATATGCCCTAGAAGGAATTTTTCACTATTTTAAGTTTATAAGCAAAATGATATCATATGATTTTGGTTTGTATTAATATAGGTAATGTTGAGCTAAACAGTTTTATTTCTAATAAGTAAGTACACTTCTGTAAAGCTTTTTTGAAAAACTCACAATCAATTTATCTACTGTTACTGTTGACCTTCCCATGTGATTAGTAACAGCAGTAATTTCAGTGTGACATATTCTATTTTATTTTAGAAGGATGTTTGTAATTTTTGACCTATTATACTTGTTCATACTTGTCGTTATTTTTATTGCTTCTAATTCAGGAAGTCTTTTTGCTTGACCCGTGTACAGCTTTAGCCCTGTAGATGCTCAGTAAATCATGTTAAAGTGCTAATGAAATAGAATTCTCCTGCTCAGTTGTATAATATTATACCAATGAAACTGCAATCTTATCCTAATGCTCAGTTTGACTTTTTTTTTCTTTACAGAGAATAAGAAAACATGTCTTGAATTCTCAAAATTAAATGTAATGACTTCCTTAAGAGATTTATTTTCCCCCAAACTAAAGATAATTCTGATGTTGTACTCAAGGGACAGTGTAAGCTGCGCAGAACCTCTGTTTGAGTCTAATAACTCTCTTAATGTCCGTTTCAACCCGTCAAAGAAAACTATCTGCATCATTCATGGATACAGACCCCTGGGCTCCATCCCAGCATGGCTTCATAAGTTTACCAAGGTGTTATTGAAACACGAAGATGTGAATCTCATTGTTGTAGACTGGAACCAGGGTGCTACAACATTCATTTACAATAGAGCTGTTAAAAATACCAGACTAGTTGCTAAGTATTTGAGTGAGTCAATTCAAAGTCTTTTGGTAAGTCTGAAAAATTGAATGTATACATGCTACACAGTATACAGTTTGTTATGTGACACCATGGAATTAAGAGATTTTTTTTCTATAAGCAGTTGGAACTTTGCCGTAGACATAGTGATCTTTTTAGCCTTGCTTTGTCGACTCTAAATAATTTTATATGATTTTTAAATGTGAAAACCCTTTTATTTTAAACTATTAAAAATTTAAAGCTCTTTCAAACCCTGAATTCAGGATGCATTAGTGATCTTATGTGGGGAGTGGACATTACTGTAATTCCAGTACATTGTTTTAGTCATCTCTTCTAAGAGCAGGTTGATGTGCTTGTTGTTAGTCAAATGGCAATTGGTAAATATAAAAGGAAAACCATTTGGAAAGTGGTCCATTCCTACTTTTGTATGTCTACACTCATCAATATTGGAACAATTTCTCTCCTCTTTCTCTGTCCTTTTTTTCTCTCCTCTTTCTCTTTCTCTTCTCAGGTTCTTGCTATCTCACCAAGGCTAAGCTTGAACTGAAGGTACTTCTGCCTCACACTTTCAAGTGCTGGTATATGCCCTAGAAGGAATTTTTCACTATTCTAAGTTCATAAGCAAAATGATACCATATTATTTTGGTTTGTGCTAATATAGGTAATGTTGAGCTAAACAGTTTTATTTCTAATAAGTAAGTATACTTCTGTAAAGCTTTTGTGAACAATTCACAATCAATTTAGCCTAATTTGTATTAGGCTAAATGTAGTTCTCAGTGTCCTCCAGCTCTGCTGCCCTTGAGCTGCATCAATCAGATTCAAGGCTGGTTTCAGGTCATCTAGTTGGTGCATAATTCTTGTTTATTATGCCAATCTTTAGGGTAGTTCCTATCTGTCCTGGGAACTGGTGGTGACAGTAAGGTTTTCAGAGAAAGAAAGGTTGCGTTTGATTTCTTTGGGTGTTCTTGGTTTTGAAGTCTGAATTTTTGTTGCAATGAGCTTCCAAACCTGTGCTAAGTTGAACAAGTGGAACACAAATGCTTAACACAAACACACCAGGAGTCAGACTGGAGGGGATCAAAGCTCGAGTCTGTCACCTCTCATCTGTGTGACTTTGAGCAATCACTTCACCTCTCTGCCAAGTTTCCTTGTTTATACACACAAAGTAATAAAATTCGGTTGTCTGTTGCATGAATTGTAAATTTATATAGAAATATACATTATACACTTGCAAATGTGTATATGCTTAATCAAGACATGACATTTACTTATCTGTGAATAAAATGGTTTTTCATTATTATTTTTGAAATGACAGTTTTTAAAAACATTATACCCAAGAGAAGTAGAGGAAATAATTGACACAGAGGAAATTGAACATGTGTAAAACTGAATAATTGACTTTTTCCTGAATTATGATCATCTCTAACTGATAAACAAAAACTTCATAATGTGGAAAGCATGAGTTAAGTAGATAATTTAAGGAAAATCGTAGGATTTTGCTTGCAAAGGATTTATAGGAGCTGGGAGAAGAGTAGCCATAGCTTTATGTTTGGAGAAATACTCCTTCAGCTTTGGGGACACTGCTTGGAGGGATTTGAAGAATAGAATTTCTTTGTGTTAGGAAAGTCCCTCTCTGGCTCTCCAATAATGGTGAAAGTTCAACATCATTTTATGAGACTTCAGACATCACTGGGTAGTCTGGACCATTACTAACTCCTTTCAGCTCCCTGGAAGTCTGCTGGAAGAGCCACACACTCAGTGAGCTCACAAAACTAACTATCTGAGGCAAACAGATGTTCACACACTGACCTTAGATTCTTTTTCTGTGCTATGTAACCTGCACTCCTGGAACCCACCTTAAGTCCAAAACACTTCATCTTAGCCTTTCCAAATAAGAGTGACGTTTATACTTTTACTGCTTCTGCTGAGAGGCATTGATATACTCGGAAAGGAAAACAGAAGAAGGCTAGCATATATTTTGTAATCAAACTGATCCAGGCTTGTATCTTAGTCAGTTTGAGCCACCATGATAAACACTGTAAACTTACTCTGTACACAAAGACATTCATATCTCACAGTTGTGCAGACTAAGAGGCCTAAGAGCAAGGGCCTGGTGGATTCTGGGTCTGTTAAGCATCAGGTTCTGGTTCATAGTTGCTATCTTGTTACAGCACTTTTGCGCTATGGAAGAACCAAATAAGCTTCTTTAGGTGTCCTTTATTAGGACATTAGCTCCATTCTTGAAGGCCCCAACTTTGTAATATCATCACCTTCTCTATGGCCCACTCCCTACACACAGACCATAACATTAAAGGTTAGGAGCTTTAGCACATTAATTTTCAGTAGCACAAACATTCAGACTTCATGACTTAAAACACATATATGTAGCTTTGTACACGACTTTAACTTGTAAGCCTATTTCCTTAGTAAAATGGATATTCACTGAATGTTACTTAGTTAATATTTAATAAGTGCCAGGCAGAGTTTTAAGTAATAGGATGGATATGAATAACTCAAAAGGCAAACAAGAATATTAAATATGAAACTTACAAAGCACATGTTGAGGTACCCAGAAACAAAATAAGCAGCCATTCATGCCTATTATTACTATTTGATTGTTAAATGCCTTGATAACTAAATATTATTTTATAGATCTCACTCTACATAATGGATGATTAAAATTTAAATCCACAGGTGAAGTTTAATGATGTTACTGGAAATGAATAGAGGAAAATCAGATATTTCGTGATGCAAGCTGAGCAAAGCTTTATCTTTTCAAAGTTATAGGTCCCCTTCCTTATGTCCCAGAAATATACAAAGTCAGAATCAATAACGAAGTTCAGAGAATGTCAATATATTAGGAATGATTTGTGATTACTCAAATTAAAATTATTCCATTGTATTTTCCATTACAGAACCATGGAGCATCTCTTGACAATTTTCATCTCATAGGCGTGAGCTTAGGGGCTCATATTAGTGGTTTTGTAGGAAAACTATTTCACGGTCAACTTGGAAGAATTACAGGTAAAGCTATTCATTTTTCCTTTTGTAAAATTATCATTTTAGATGCTGAGTGGTGGTGGTGCACACCTTTAATCCCAGCACTCGGGAGGCAGAGCCAGACAGATCTCTGTGAGTTCGAGGCCAGCCTGGTCTAAAGACACCAGGACAGGCACCAAAACTGCACAGAGAAACCCTGTCTCGAAAAAAAAAAATTATCATTTTAGCACATTATACCCACTAGAGCTTATTCTACTTAAAACCTGAAGGAATAGCTACAAACTATATTCAAATATTACTTTTTCCTAGATTGTTAATTCTTCCTTAGTGATTATGATGAACAAGAAAAGCAAGTGTTGAGTTTGGTAGCTTTATCTAAATGTCAAAGATTACATGGAAAAGTTTGGTCCATTCTGTTAAAAAAATCATTTATTTATTAGCTAAAAATATTAACTACATAGTTCATTCTCACAAGCACTGTTGAATTTTAATTTTAATTCTCTGGTGCACTCGACCAATAAGTAGTTGCTATTCAAGTCTGAGACATCCTCATTCTCGTGTTCACTCAGATTCACATGGTGAACTTAACTGTAGTTAAAGGCAGCAACGACGTGCTGCTCACACAGATTTCCATCCTTTTTCTATGTCAGGTTTATTAAGCAATTATCCATATCCATATCACTAGAATGTTTATAATTCCAATTAGTTATAAAGGATAGCATTGTCTTAATACAATTTCATAAAAGAAAGGAAGGAGAGGTGACGTCACTCGTATTGACGCAGGTGTTCACTTACCTGTTGCTCTGACGCCACAGAACCACGAAAGTCTAAAAGATCGAAAATATAGATTTCTTACATTCAAAACATTTAGAGGAAAAGAGAGGTGGGGTATTCTGTCAAGCAGGCTAAAATAAAATAAGGGCAACAGAAGAGTGAAATGAACAATAGCTAAAATAACATTAATTTATAAAATAATGTGGGTTAAGGGAAAACTTGTGGGAGTCAGTTTTTTTTTTCCTTTTGCTACATGGGTCTGGGAAACTGGATGTCTCTTCCTCAAGGGACTGAATTTTATTCCAATCCTTTTGCTACCAGGAAGTCATGATCATAGGACTTCAGTTTAGAATTTATTCTACAGAATAATATCTGTATTTCATGGAATTTATAACATTTTCCCCTTAAGGATGTATAGGAAACTCTTGGGAGAGGTGAATGCTAAGAAAATAGTAAATTCATTCCATTCATTAACCTGAATAGTATTGGTATCTAAAAAGTATTTTAGACCTATAGACAGATATAGGATGAGGTCAGTAAGGAGAATAATTCAAGAGAGGTCCAGATGGTATTCCTTAGCTCTTTTCCTCAATCAGGAGGGAATCTCAGTTACTATTAAATACAAAGTTTCATAGCTTACTCCATCTGCTCCGTCGATAAAATTGCTAAAAATATCTTAACACTATTCTGTTGAGATATTTCTCCCATGTTTGGACCACCTTTGTCAATAAATATTTAAATAATGAGGGCATTGTCACTTGTCAAGTTTAATAATTTTAGATATGTTTGGACATGTTTAAACTAAAATTATAGACACTTATATTTATAATTGACAATACTCAAGTGTAAAATATAATGAAGTAGTAAAGCATAATTAGACTGACAGTTCCTATTTTGCATTTCAGGCCTTGACCCAGCTGGACCACAATTCTCTGGAAAACCATCAGATAGCAGATTAGATTACACAGACGCAAAGTTTGTAGATGTCATCCATACTGATTCCGATGGTAAAAGAATAAGTTTCAATGGGTTTTGTGTTTGAAAGCAAAATGTGGAATGTAGATCTGATCCCAAGGAAGAGGTTGTAAGATGAGGAAGAGCTGTGGATAAAATGTTTAGGGTTTAATGAGGTTTTGTTTTGTGTGTGTGTGTTGTTTGTTTGTTTTTACATTGACTTCCGGTATTGTTTGCCTTGTGCTTATTTATTATTTCCTTTTTAGGTTTCAAGAGTCATCTCGTCATTGTAAAACATCGAAATTTCATTTTAAAATAATTGTTTTTATTTTATTGGCAGTCACCTACTTGATAATATTTCTTGCTATGCTCAATGCTGCTATTTAGTTTACTGTTCATTTTCCTCTTGTGATGTATACCAACTGGAGTTAGCACAACATTAAAACCACAGATAAGGACTATTTTTCTATGAGGAGAGGACACTTTCTCTATTGACTTTGTCTTTATAATGCTCTCTAACGGGGTGTTGGTACCATTGATTAGAAAATGCTGGACAATTCATTACAAAAATTACTGAGACTGTCCTGAGGCTTTTTTTGATTGGATGAGTGAGTTTATTAAGTTAGGAGGGGTGGGCAGCGCCTGACTTTGATGTCTTTCTGGATTAAAAGCTGGCGATATGAACATCGACTAAACTCTTTCTACACATCACTGAGTCTCTTGGTTAAACTCATCAAACTCATTTCAATGATATTTTCTGCATGTATGTTATATAGCCATGTTTATGGTTGCACTACTTATAATAATAAGGAAATAGAAGCAGTCTATCCATGAATGGATAAACACATATGGAAATTTATATAGCCATAAAGAAAAATGAAATCATGACATTTTGCAGGCAAATGGGTGGAAAGGGAAATCACTATATTAAGCAAGATAAGCCAAACACAGACAAATATCCTCTTTCTTTTATTCCCCCAATGTAGTTTTAAAATTATGTATGTGGGGGCTGCAGAGATGGCTCTCTGGTTAAGATCATGTACTGATCTTGCAGAGAATCAGGCTTTGATTCCCAGCACTGATATCAGGTTTTTCACAAGTGCCCCATAATTCCAGCTCCAGGGGGTAATCAGATACTCCTCACCTCTACAGACACCTGCAGTGGGGTGCACTTGTCCCCATGCAAACAAACTCACATATGAATCATTAAAAACAATAAAAACAAATCCTTAAAGTTATGCTTTTGTATATATGTATATGTATAATATATATGTATATGTATGCATATATATGTATATATATATATATGTGTGTGTGTGTGTGTGTGTGTGTGTGTGTGTGTACATTCTCAAACTACAAAGGGGGTTGTAGAAGGGGAGAGAGGGACATTAAAGCAGAGGTGAAGGGGTAAAATAGTGATGGTTATAAATATGTGTGAAGAAAGGAGAAAGGCTAACTAACTATCTAGGAGAAGAGAGAGCGCTATTGGGAAGGAGCAGACCATCAGGGAGGTCAGTTTGAGAGGGAAACAAATGAGAACAATTATTATGAGATAAAATGTATGAAAGCCATAAAACACCATTACTTTGTATGATAACCTAAAAATAATAAGAGAAGTTAATTTCAAAAACTTAAGAGGCCGTGTCTGCTATACATATATTCTGTAAACCAAAGGAGTGAATGATCTAACCTTTCCAAACCGACTTGCTACCATGTGATTGTGGCATGCCTGCCTTAAGGACCATTTGTGAGTTCATAATAAATAGCTGTTGTTTCTCCCTCATGGCTGTGTAGCCCTCCTGTTTTTATCCGAATTCACTGCCATGTGGGAGATCTGTCCAAACAGGTGCTTCTTGGTTTTTAACGTTCATGTTGACTGAGGCACACAGAGATGTCAGAAATTCCTTCAATAGCTGATTTTCTTATAGGGCAGTGGTTCTCAACCTTCCTAATGCTCTGAGCCTTTCACTACAGTTCATGTTGTGGTGGACCCTCCCACCCCCACACACTGTAAAATTATTTTCCTTGCTACTTCATAACTGTAATTTTACTACTGTTATGATTGTAATGCAAATATCTGATATGCAGGATATCTGATATGTGACCCCCAAAGGATCATGACCCATAGGTTGAGAACCACTGTCCTAGGGTCATATTTATAATGCTAGAATTCTTTGTTTAAATCAAACAAGTGAGTAGGTTATGGGGCTGGAAGAGGAATTCTCCACTGCTACAGTAAAGTCACACTTGTTTCTTTGAAGTATAAAGATTTCTAGTGAAATAATTTAAGTTGGCCTTCATCTTTATACATTGAACACCCTTCTGTCTGCTTCTGACACCGTGCATGCCCAGCAGCTTCATGGCTTTCTGCTATATCATGACACATTACTGGATTCTGTTGTATGCTCTACCTAAATTGAGTTGCTGTATCTTGATCAATACTCAGACACTAATGTTTGTCTGAAGAATGCACTAATATAAAATTGCTTGTACCCTAAAGCTAAAGTATTTCCATCTTGTCTGGCAGCAGGATTTCGTATGTAAGTATAGTCCCAAGTTTTCTGAGATTTATATCCTGTCTCAGGCTCTTCTGGGTTATAGACTGCAATACTGGTAATGAATTCAGAATTTGAACCTTCTCCAGAGCCCTGGAAATCTACAGGTTTATAGAAGCCCATAATTCATAACCATATAGCCTCATGCCCCCCTAACTCAAATTATCCCCTTGAAGGCAGCAAGCTTTGTAGGTTTTGCCACTGAGTAAATCTAACATCAACAAGCCCAAGGCATCATCAGCCAAAGTGCGAGTAAGCATCACAGTGACCCGAGAGGCTGCATATGACCTGATATTTTTTCCTCATGTGGTGATCATTACCCATTATGTCTTAGCTACTCGCTTTGTGGACCCCAATCTGCTCCCAGATATCCTACCGACTCTCTGTTTTCCATCCTTCACTTATTTATTTCAGTTGTCAAACTTCTAAACTGCTGGATGAGAAATTCTCTAGCCAAACTACATTAAATATGTTTCCATTTTTAATTTCCACTTTTAAAAAATATGCAAGGTCTACCCTTGCTGGGTGTTTTTTCTTCTTTCCATTGCATTTATTGCTCTCTGATAAATAGTTCTTTTACTTTCTCTTACAGTTTTCTTTACCACACATCACTTCTACTACAAAGATTTTCCTTTTGTCCCCCCAAAGTGTCATGATTGGCCCACAGTAAACAGGTGGATAATAAATGTGTGAAATGATTAACACATGACTTTCATGAGAATTAATTTCAAAATGTAGTGCCAGAAAACTGCTATTTAAAAAATTTGCATCTGTGTATTGTGGTTCATACTTGTAGTCTTAGAATGTAAGAGGCTGAAGAAAGAAGATTGTCCTGTGTTTGAGGCCAGGCTTAGGTTACATAGTGAGTTCCAGGGTAGTCTGGGACCTTTTTATACCTATATCTCAAAAGAAGGGGAAGAAGAGGAGATGGAGAAGGGTACAAAGGAGGGAGAGGGAAGGATGGAGGAGAGAGACAGAGGGAAGAGTAGCTGGAGACAGAAGAAACTAACAAAGATAAAACTTAGCATTTATCATTGATTGGAAACTTCTAAGGAGCGAGTTTAATGGATGCTAGCAGATCTATTTTTATATATATATGGTTGCTCAAACAACTTTTTATGCCTTATAATTTTATGGGTGCTTTCCCCCTAGGTTTAGGCATTCTAGAGCCATTGGGACATATAGATTTTTACCCAAATGGAGGAAGAAAACAGCCAGGTTGTCCTACAACAGTTTTTTCAGGTAAATTAAAAGTATTTTCATTCTGTTTTCTTTTATTGAAAATAGATTTTTTCATATAATATGTTCTGATTACAGCTATACATGATTCAAAATGATCTGAGAAAATAATTCACCATTTTGCTTTCTTAATCTGTGGGTAATATTTTGATGTCATAATTTTTGCTAATGACATAGGAGAGTTATTGGCAAGAAATAATTTCAATTGATACCACTCAATATACAAATGTTACTAGTGTATCCAACATCTGGTCATGGATGAGACCTGTTTTGTGTGTTTGCAACAATTTTAGGTCATCATTTTAAGCATGAAGAGGAATTTTAAGTCATCTAGAAAAACACACATAGCTAAAGTACCCCAGAGCTTGAGTTTGAGCCCACAATTTAGCACCCGTGGTCAACCTAGTACTACATATTCACAAATTTGTCAGTTCTGACCACTTGGTTGTCTCATATACGGAGTGATGCATGGCCTCTGAGTGTGGAATCTGGTTCACTCAGCACCATGGCAGGTTAGCACATGATCAAATGTAGTGTGACTTGAGAAGTTCTAACTAAAGGGAAAAAACACGAAAGACTGGAAAGGTAAGTGAGCTGAATGAGTGGTAACACTGCTTGACTCCAGAGGCATGTTTAACTTTGGATCAAGATTTTACAGGTACAAAATTAGAGGGAAAGATATCTAATAGTAAACATTGTAGCCATGTGTTTTCAGAGACTGTTAAATTTAAACAGCTATACTTTATGGCTTATTATCACTTTATGAAAATGTCTTGTTAATTTCATGAAAAAGTCATGCCCAATTTAAGGTTTTAATGGGATTTTTTAATAGGTTGAGATGTAACTGTATTGTGGTCAATGCTTTGTATTTAGGAGAAACATAGAATTTAATATAACTTAAATGGTCAGTTTTTCTCTAATTCACTTGAACTTGGTTCTGTGTTTTTACAGTTGTTTTGCTTGTTTTTCTCACCCTCAAGGAGTTAATTACATAAAATGTGACCATCAGAGAGCAGTTCATTTGTTTATTGCAGCTTTTGAAACAAATTGCAATTTTGTTTCATTTCCTTGTACGTCGTACAAAGAGTATGAGAATGGTTTATGTGTGGACTGTAGGAACCGTTATGGAAACACCTGTCCTAGACTTGGTAAGGGAACTTGTTATTACAATTTCTTTTGAAGATGAGTAACACCATTGTGGTAGTATTTTAGGCTGGAGGCTAAAATGTGCTTCATATTAATCTATTAACATGTTATGGTTTGGGGGAAATTATCAATGGGGATAATGGTAGACTCAGATTCTATATTTCCTGCCATTTTTTTCCTAAGTAATTTGCTCACCCCTCTTCCTATACATAGAGGCAGAAACTTCTCCATTCTTTATGCACGAGGAAGTTTTTTTGTTTTTGCTTTTAATAGGAAATCTTAGGCACAAGTGAAGAGGTATACATCATAGCTAGCTTCGCATTTGCTCTCAGCAGGAAGTCAACAATTACATGGGATTCATGCTTTCTATATCAGTAAAAACTTAACAAGGACAGTTACATTGGGAGCTTTTGAAAAGAAAAGTCTGCCAATGGAAAATTAAAAAAAAAAAAGTCCACAAGAAGACGGCATTAATTGGAGGAGGCAACGAGGACATGGAGGGCATAATAAAAGTACATTATGTATATATTATATAAAGGGTTAAAATGTGAAAGAATAAATGAATAAATAATATGTGTTCAAGTAAAAAGAAAAAAGGAGTCGACCTTGAAAGAGTTCCAGACACTGTTCAGTAATTTCCAAAGAAAATGCCAGGTACCAGCATGGTATAAATATATCAATATCTGGTTAGTACCATAGAAGGGTTTTCCAAAAATATTTGCAAAGTGAAAGGGTCTCTAAAAATGGGAGATGATTAAGAGGACCAAAATGAACCCACTACACTAAGCTTGACTCAGCAGTACTGACTGTAAATGGAGCATCGCTATATAAAGCATAATCCATCCAGGATTTGTCAAATCCACTTTCCATAGATTTCTGCTGTCCACAAGAAGTAATCTGGGAATTTATTTATCTTATATCTCTAGATAGGATTGCTTTTCTGGTGGAATTGTTTTTTCATCTATGATTCATGTCAACTATAAGATTGCTTAAGAGCATAAGATTTAGCTAGAGCTAAAAATTCAAAAATTTAAATGAAGTATTCTGTCTACTATATTAAAATTAAAAAGGTTTGAGGTAGCAATAAAGAGGAACTTGAATATATTTAATATGTTACTATATGCACCTATATTAAAATATACTCAATACATAGGATTTATATATATTTGTATTATTTATATGTTTATGATATTGTGGCATAATACAATGTTGTATAGGTAGAAAAGTTTTGGGGCTTCATTCATGGAGATAAACTGCATATTCAAATTTTGTGTAATTCACTTATTCTGGTGAATTTACTAAAAAGAGTTATGCATTGACATCTGAATTTATAATATGGTATAAAAACTGATACAAATGGATCTCAGTAATACAGATTATGTCAAGCACTAATAAGACTTTCAGAGAGTGGAGTGATTTTTGTGAATCTTGACTATAAGAATTACTTTGAAAATTAATGTAAAGTACCTTACATGTTTTCAGGGTGCCTTTTAATCTATGTTTGATGGTGTACCTTGATATTTAGTGATATTTAGAGATTTTTAGATATTTAGTGATTTGAAGAGTCTGTGTGCTACTTGATGGAATTCAATTCCGGTGTCTATTTCTCAAATCTTAGGTAATCAAGCTCAGCTATGGAAAAAAGGTTTGAAGGAAAGAATGGAAAGATGGCCTCTCAGGACCATTGCATTTTTGGATACTAGCTCCCAAAGTTCATTCTGTAGTAAGTTGTTCACATTTTAAATAAATGAACCATTATTTACATGCATATGTTATTTCAGAATAACCAAAACCATGGTTATAATTAATCTTAAAGATGATTATATCTTGGTTTCTAAACCTGTAAATTGAGGAATAAATTTACTTACTCCTAAGTACAACAGTTAGTTAAGTACAAGAAGCCTGGAAATATCAATCAGCGGGGAGAAGAACAGAAAGACAATGGAGTCAACATTCCCAAATAATTTTAGAATCACCCCAGGTTAGCTCCATTTAGTTTCAAGCCCTGGTTAGCCATGATTTCTACACTCACATCTCCATGCTTTTGATGCTCTTCTCCTCCTCTTCATGCTTCTCTTCTCCAGATACTTTCTTCAACCTTTCTCCTCCAACCACTCCTTGCATCAAATATTCATTTATATTTCATAATTTCAGCTTTCTATCGATATATCTGAATGTCACTCTCCCACTTCTTTTCGCTGTTAATTTCTTTATTGCTAAAATAAGGCCTACTGAGTTACTCAGTAGTAAGTTTGGCCAGTTATTTTTAAAGCTAGTTTAAAAAAGTGTGTGTGTATATGTGTGTGTGTGTATGTGTGTGTGTGTGTGTGTGTGTGTGTGTGTGTGTGTGTGCGTGTGTGTGTACGTGCGCGCACACGCCCCTGTGCACTCACACACTTGTAAATGCTGGTGCTCACAAAGACCAAAGGTATTTGATCCCCCTGGAGCTAGAATTGCAGGCATTGTTGAATCACCTGACATGTCCGCTGGAATTCAAATTCATGTATTCTACAAGAGCAGACTCTTAATCATTGAACTAAATCTCTCCAGTTCACCATGAGCCCTTTTTGTTTTGGATTAGCATATCCCTGCATGTATCCTACCTGAGGTATGACAGTTCCAATGAATGTACACTATATACAATTATTTAACTTCATTGCCATTCCTCAGTAGGCAATGAAATTGACAATTGAAGTTGGTAAGCAAATTTAGCTGTATATATTAATCGGGTAATTAAGAAACTTACAATATTTAAATATGTTCTTGAAAAACAAAATGCTGTTTCATGTTATTATTATTATTATTTGATTTGATTTGGTATTTGCAGGCAAGTTAGAACGTAGTATTGATTCAACCAAATTATCATCATACGCAAGATTGACAATTGAATGGCAGATTGTTATTCTTCAAAACATGACTCTGGTCTTTTTTGTTTGTTTTAGTTTTCTACAATGATGTGACTCCTAGTATGTTTACCACACTTCAGGACAGCTTCCACTCCCAAGAACAGTTGGGCAACATAATGTACTCAATGGGGAGAAAAAATTAGAAAACTCACAAAGTTGGGTGTTAGGGAAATATGGGTGGATATGGTGGATATGGGAGGAGTTGGGGTGTGAGGATGAATATGGTCAGAATAAAGTTTTTGAAATTCTCAAAGAATTAAGAAAGATATTTTGGAAATAACCCAACAAGAAGCAGAATGCATTCTCCATTGATAAAATTATTCTATCTGAAAATTTTGCCTGAATATAAAATATGGGACTCTACTACATATATCATGTGTGCTTTCATGTATTTTTTGCCTATGTGACAAAACCAAACCAAGTTTGAAATATAAAATGATTAACATTCTGTATTTTTATTTTGTAGCCTATTATTTTGTTCTCAGTATAGTTGCTTTGGATGGAACTATAAAGGACGGCTCAATTTCATTTAGTTTATTAAACAACCTTCAGAGATTTGAATACCCTAGGCTCTATGTGTAAGTACCAGTTATCATTTACTTTTTCCAGGAATTAAATGTCTGCTTATTTGCATATCTATGAATGGTTAAGTAGATAATTCAGAGTGAATTTTCTAAATGGAGAGGCTTAAATATTAGTGGCATTTTGCATATCTTGTTCTGCTGTTTCATTCTTTGGGAAGATGTTGAATGTGTAATAGCTAGGACACGTTTTACAGTTCATGGCCACAAATGTTAGAGGAATGGGAGAAGCCATTTTTTTGTCTTGTTTTTGACTCTTAATTCCAGTATTCCTCCTAACCATCTTGCTTGCTCACTTTCTCCAGTTTTTAATGGGATATGATTTTCACAGTGATGTAAATAAAAACTTGATGCCATCAGTCAAAGACAGAGTGAGACAAATTTAACATTTATAGAACTCTGAATCATAAAGCTCAAAAATATAGGTTGAGGTATCTTTTTCCTCAATTCCAAATGACTAGTTACATGTGTATGATTGGATATGCACGTTTCCACAGCTACTTAATCTTCAAGCTCATTCTCAGCTCAAATTTGCTGAACATCTGTTTATCTCTTAGATAAATTCTTAAAATAAAAAAAATTGTTTTAAGCAAAAGAATGACATAAAGGTGCATGTTTTCATTGAAATTACAGTTTCCAATGTGCTGGTTTAATCATTTAGAACTCTTTTACGTCTGGTGATTAAATAAGTAATAAACTTTATTTAACTATTAATAGGCCATACATTAACTTCAACTCTAACTTGTTATTGGTGACTTTTGAGTTGCAGAAGCCACAGTTGTTATCGCCAACATTTACTGCTGTCACAGCTGAAGTAATTATAATAAATGAACTGGACAATAGACTAAATATAATGTGTGGTGAGTCTTGGCTGTGGACATATTGTGACATACAGGTTTAGTCAGCTGTCAACTGTGAGAGAGGAAAACCTCCCTGACTGGAAGCAAGTTTGGTTGTCAAACCATGGTAGCAACATCCTTAATGCTACAATGCTATTAATATTTATGAAAAATCTGCAATGTCACAAAAATACAATACATAGACATATCACATAATAAAGGTGGTATGTAACATAGAAAAAAAACATTTCAAATCTTAGAATTCATGAAGAAGATCACAAGAAAAAAGTTCATGTTGGCAAAATACTGAAAGTCTTCCTAGTGAAGTAAAACTAAGAGCTTCCACAATGGATGCTAGGATCATTCTCAGAAATGAAATACTGGGTCAACATCAGGCGAGTAAAAATTGACACAAATATTTTAATGTTGTATTATATAAATATATTTTTTAAATTAGTAAGAATTATTGCAGATAAATTAGTGATAACATGAAAATGGTAGTGTAAAAGTAATTTTTTCCTTCTCTTTTTTACCTCTTTAAGTCACTCAAAGAAGATATAGAACATATCATATAAGAATTTTGATCTAAATTCCTTACTTCTGTGTAGGTCCATATTTCATTAAGAGAACTTTTCAACACCTTTTCACCTAAGCTTAGACATTGCTTATATATTGTACGCTATAATACTAAATGCAATTGAGTAAATAGTTCATTAATAAAGATCTCTTAAATTGTAAAAAGGTTTTGTGTATATTACACAGACATATATAGTCTATCAAGTATTCTTATAAGAAATATGCTGTTAGCTTTAAATTAATTCACTTACCCAGCACATTACTTATGACTAAACATATTCAGATGTTTAAAGGACATCTGGGCACTCAAAACTGAAATAGTGTTATTGTTCAGAAGGAAATCACCGAACACTGGTGGAGGCTAATACCTAATTGAATCTCAGTAGTGAGTTTCATGATAGATTACCACTTAATGTGCAGTCAGAAGTCAGAAGAGGAATAAACACATTTGAAAGTAATGCAATCCCATAAGCAAGCTGGGAGAAGTTGCGTTCCCAGGCCCAGATAAAACAGAGTGATTGAACTCATAAATACCATATAGACCAATCTCCTAATGCAGTTGCTTCATTTTTTTCCAGTAGGTAAAGAAATTTGTTCTCCTTTATTTTGCAAACAGTTAAACACTTTGAAATAGTGATGAATTTCACTCATAATGGATTCAATATGTAGGGGATAAAGTTATTAGAACATGTATACTTATTACAATATAGCCACCTAAGCTTGGCTGTTTATTTTTTTTTCCATTAGAGTTATTTGGCATTTGAACTTTTGTTCAAACACTAGAAGAACCAAAGAATCTTAAAAGACCATGCATTTACCTTCAAAAATTGAAACAGGAATATTTGCTTTTCATACACAATTCACAATATTATACAGAGAAAAATTAGGGTCACTTATGACTATAGCATGTATAGATGCTGAACTTGACCTTTACATTATAATCACTCTTCTTCCTCCTCCTGATCCTCCTTCTTGTCCCTTTCCTCCTCCTCTCCCTTCCCCCCTCATCCTACTCCCCTGCTCTTCTTGTACAGGATCTGTGCACTGTATGCTTTCGTTTCGTTTTTTATTAGTAAAGGGGGACTTCACTGGAAATGTGTTGGCTTCTGATTTTCATATATATTGTTGTGGTGTGGTCATTTTTTCAAGGTCACTAAAGAGCACTCAGTTAGTGTAATATGATTTGAAATGTAATGTTTTATAAATTTAGGGTTTTATTTGTTTACTTTTACTATATTGATTGAGCGTATTTTTGTGTGTTGTGGAAGGAAGGGTGCAAATGCTACAGCATGTGTGTGGCGGTCAGAGGACATATCTTGGGTACTGACTCTCTGCTTCATTCATGTGGTTTCCAGGTTGTCAGGTTTGGTAGCCTTCATTCACTAAGCTATTTCACCCACCCTCATGGTAGTCTTTTAAATAAGGAATGTGAGTATTAGATGTTCATATTAGAGCAGTCCATCAGGTGAATTATGGTGAGATTAAAGGAAATTTGGAGTCTTCAGAAATGGCTATTGTTATATTTCAGTGATAGATGATGGGAACTAGGCAAATTCTGGGGAATAAAGACAAAGACCAAGAGAGATTCTAGAGGTTCTAAGGCTTCCAAATCTGTGTGGGATGGGTTTACCTGATTTATCTGAAGTGCTAAATTGAGAAAAGTAAATCAATCCAGAATAACTTCAAATTTTGAGTTGTGGACCCTCAAAAATATTTAAAATACCCTTCCATACCAAACCATTATATGTGAAGTAGAGGGTTCTACAGACAGTTTCCAATTTAATCATTCAATAAATGTTTTGAGAGAGTACACTGGCAAGAAAGAAGTTCATAATATATATGTATGTATGTATATTAGATCTGTCTTTAAAAAGTTTCAGACTTGCCAGGCGGTGGTGGCGCAAGCCTTTAATCCCAGCACTTGGGAGGCAGAGGCAGGCAGATCTTTGTGTTCGAGGCCAGCCTGGTCTACAAAGCAGTTCCAGGAAGGGTGCAAAACTACACAGAGAAACCCTGTCTTGAAAAACCAAAAAAAAAAAGTTTCAGACTAGTGCAGCATATAAACTTTAAATTAATGATAAAACCAAAATTATGATATTAATATTCCTCCAGACAGTTTTTTATGATTGTTTACACTGAGACAGTCTGAACACAGGGGAAAGTGAAAGAACAGAGATATTGAGAGTGACAGAGAGGGAGAGAGAGAAAGGGAGATGAGAGAGAAAAGTGAGGAGAGAGAGAAGGGAAGGGAAGGGAAGGGGAGGGGAGGGGAGGGAAGGGAAGGGAAGGGAAGGGAAGGGAAGGGAAGGGAAGGGAAGGGAAGGGAAGAGAAGAGAAGAGAAGAGAAGAGAAGAGAAGAGAAGAGAAGAGAAGAGAAGAGAAGAGAAGAGAAGAGAAGAGACAAGAAGGAGAGGATAAGCCCTTGGTATTGAGGAAATAACAGTTGGAACTGCTAGGGGATACATGAATTTTCAGGTGACATATTCCTATCTGTGTGTGTTGAAGGAACACTGAGAAATCTGGGTATGCTCTTTGAAACACATTAGCAATACACCCAATAAATTTGTATTCTTGGGGGGAAGGTGGGTAACCCTGCCAGGGTGAGAGCAGTGATGAACTTTGAAGGGAACAGTGACATCCTTTGGTGAGCCTAACTTCTGTGGAGAATAAAAGGGGTAGTGGGGCAAAGAGAAGTCAAGCTTGGTAGGAAATATTGGGGCCCCCATGGGCTGCTGTTTTGCTCTCTGTTCTAGACAAACCCTTGCCTTTGCTTCACATTTTGATGAAAAACACTTTTTTTCAATAAAGATTTCCATATTCTTTCTCTTTTTTCTCCTTCCTTCCTTTCCTCCTTCCCATTCACTTCTTTCTTCTGACCTAAATCTTGTGGTTCCTCTGGTCCAACTCGCTTTTGCCCTTAATTTTAGCTACTGAGAGATGACAACAGAGAGCTCTTGTACTTGGACAAGTCTATAATGATGGTAATTATTTTATGAACTCATATTTCTGCCACACAGAGGTGAAGAACTGTGAGAAGGAGTAATGAACAGAATTTACAAATATGGTTTTATACAGCACATAACTAACTAGTAGCCATGTGAATTCTAGAAAGCACTTTGTATGATATGAACTTCAGTTTTCTTACCTTAAAATGGCCATTCTTATAATATCCTAAAAGGGAAGTTGCTGGCTAAATAAGGTCCAAGTGTATGCTTGAAGCACTGTTACTTGATACATTGAGAGTGGTCATAAAATTATGCTTATAAGATATTGCTTTTACTTTTCATTTTAAATCTCAGTATTTTATTGATATTTTCTTTAAGGAAAAAAATTATAAAATGTGTTGAAGAGTAACATTTTTCATTTGAACTCCTAGTCAACTGAAGGAATTGTGATGACTGAAGAATGCTCTACAAAGTCAAATACAGGATAGACCTTAGACAAAATATGCTCTCCACATTTTGATATGGGAGTGCATATATCCTCACTGTTATTTTATTCTGTCTTGTCTGACCTCTTTCCTATAAAATTGTCCCCTGTGTTTCATTAGTATTACATTGATTTAGAAAAAAATATGTTTAATTTATTAATATACTGAGACTATCAAGTTTTTCTATTTAGGAAGAGCAAACCATTTGATAATCTTCAAGGAGTCAAGATCCTTGCTCAGTTCATAAGGGATATTGTGAACATTTCATGCATATATGTAACATACTTACATTCCCCCGATTCCTGCTGTTCCACGTGCCAATACAGAGTCCAGAGTCTTGTGTTAAAGTCACTTACACACCCAGAAAGGTAGGAAATCTAAATTTTGATTTAAACATTTTGTCTTAACATTAAACATGCTCTTTAAGTTTTGGTTAAGAATTTATGTGTGTAAATGTTGGTTAATTTTATTATAAAAGGATCTCAAAATATTTTTAAAAGGACATAAAATGTATTTTTTTGTCTTGAGTGATACTTGTGATAGTTTAGAATCACATTATCTGAGCAACAACAACAACAACAACAACAAAACCCCACACAAACACACATAATAATGTCATAAGGTATTGTTAAGGTGGGGAATTGATACAATATATCCCTTGAAGGCTTATCAATATTTTATTTTTTTGCTTGTTTGTTGGTTGGTTTGTTTTTAGCTCAAAAACAGTTTTATTAGAATTTAAGAGACACGGAACAGGACATGGAAGCTGCACATCTCAGCAGCTCAGCGAGGCTCAAGCGTGAGACACAGTGGAAGAGGAAAGGGAGAAAGCAGGCTCTTTATGTTAGGGTGGACCACAAGTGGGATTCCTAACACCCCTGAAAAGGTCAGCCATTGCCCGCCACAACTGTGACTCCAGTGTTGGATGAAGGGACACGGGGGAATCATGGAGTTTGCTGACAGCCAGGCTGGTAAACACAGGGATCTCCAGGTTCAGTAAGAATCATACCACAAGGAAATAAGGTAGAAAATGACGAGAAAAGATACCAACATCATGTTCTAGCCTCTGCATGTTCATGCAGAGGTAAATGCATTGCTGTGGGATGTTCTGTATGGCAAATGTGTTGCTCGGATTGGTTAGTAAATCAAAAACTGATTGGCCAGTAGTCAGGCAGGAGGAAGTATAGGCGGGACAAGGAGGAGAATAAAGCTGGGAAGTGGAAGGCTGAGTCAGAGACACTGCCAGCCGCCACGATGACAAACAGCATGTGAAGATGCCGGTAGGCCACGAGCCACGTGGCAAGGTATAGATTTATAGAAATGGATTAATTTAAGCTGTAAGAACAGTTAGCAAGAAGCCTGGTACGGCCATACAGTTTGTAAGCAATATAAGTCTCTGTGTTTACTTGGTTGGGTCTGAGCGGCTGTGGGACTGGCAGGTGAGAGAGATTTGCCTTGACCGTGGGCCAGGCAGGAAAACTCTAGCTACAATGTATCACACATACACACATGCATTTCTTATGTATAGGTACATACTCACGTGCATACATGCATATCTCATATGTATCCCACCCATATGTACATAATAAAAGAAGTGGTTTGCGGATTGATTGTAATCTCTTTAGATTGTTGTACTATTTCTACTTTCATTTACTTTTTATACATATAAAAATGAATTCCCAAGTATCTTTTATAAAAGTGCAGTAAGATGACAAATATTTGTAGAAAGTAAAAACAAAAGCAATATATGATTTTGTGTGTGTGTGTGTGTGTGTGTGTGTGTGTGTGTGTGTGTGTGTGTAATGATATAGAATGCTTGTGTATGAATGTATGAGTCCATGGTGCATGTGCATATGTGTGTGTTGAGGCAAGAGGTCAAATTTAGGTATCATTCTTCAAGTGCCACTCACATTTTGTTGAAGACAGGGTCTGTCACTGGCATCACAATAATGACCCCCAGGGATCTGCCCCTCTCCACCCTTCCAATGTTGAAATTATGAGAGAGTGACATTGTGCCAGCCTTTTTATATGAGTGCTAGGGATCCAATTCAAGATCACCATACTTGTGTTACTGACTGACTGAGCTGTTTCCCAATCTGAAAACATGCATTTAGATGGGTTCCACATCTACAGAGAAGTGTTGGAAACTAATTTAAATGCAAATCATCTTACAAATTTCAGTATGATAATATACCTACATTCAATAATCAGTAAAATGCTATTATAGTGATAAAAGGCAGTTTTCATTGTCCCTGTGGTTGAAATGTATGCAAATATCAAAACCAATCAATCCAAGCAAGAACATTTACTATCATCATTCCTTACAAACGTGTGGTTGGAGCAGGATGTCATATCTTGGAGGACAAAGTTTTAAGTTTTCATCTATATATGGTTTGGTATTTATTTTTTACAATAAGAGCATTTTCCATTAATTAATAAATAGAATTAATTAATTAATTCCATTAATTAAGAAATAGGGCAAAGCCACTTATATATGATCCAGTGCATAAAACACACAGGTATGGGATTTTCTTTCTCAAAACCTAAACTATGGATGGCTTATGATTATTTACTTCTGGATATTTAATGAAGCTCTTAACATCATCTTCTGGACAGAGATAGAAATGCAAACTGATGATTGGATGAAAGTATGCTTTATGTTTAATTCCCTAGATAATTGCCATAACCATCTAGTAGCGTTCCTCTTCACATATGTCCACACAGATAATATACAGTCAGCAAGAATTCAGACTGCCAGACTGTTGGAGATGTGAATTATAAAGGATATGATGCCTTCTGATCCACCTTAGTCTGCACACCCTTGATGAGTAATTATATCTCCAGAAGTAGTTTGATAGAGACCAGCCAGAGCCTCTGCCCAGCCACTCCAAGTAAATTAAATCTTAGACTCGAGGGACTAAGAGAAATACACATGAGAGGTGTGACCTTGGATGACTTTCAGAAAACTCGTGACTGAAGCCACTTTAAAAATTTAATGTGAAATATTTCTGTTGGTGTGTATTTGCATGGATTTTATTAAGTGTAGAATTGTAGTTAAAACCACAGGCAGAATTTAGAATTCACCAAAGTTTATTGATTCTATGCTTTGCTTTTCAGCTGCATTCTGACCTCACCTGCTGTGGCTGGCTCATATTTTTCTGGATATTGTACACATGGGATTATAGGTCATTGTATACATAGAATTTTGCACTTAGCTGTTGCCCATATCATGAAAGTTAGGGATGAATATTATTTTGTTATAAAAGTATTACATAATATGCTTATCCAATCACCACTTAAAAGACATGGGTTTGCAGTTTTGTTTTCTGTGAGCAAGCCTGGACTTGTATACGAGCTTTTATGTGACTATAAAATGTCATTTGTCTTGGACAGATACCTAGAAGTAGGGTTGCTCGGTCATATGATGTGTCTTAAACTTTATATGAAACAGTCAAAGTATTTTTCAAAGTAACTATATGTTTTGGGTTTTGAACAGCATTATGTATTTATTGCTCTTCGGACAAGTGTACTTTCCCCATTGTCTTAGTTACTTTGTATTACTGTGATAAACACCATGACAAAAGCCCCTTATAGAAAAAAAAAAAAAGCATTTCAGTGGGGCTTGCACTTCCAAGGGGAGAGGAGTCTATCAACATAATGGCAGGGAGCACAGCGGAAGGTAAGCAGGCATGGTACTGGACATCTGAGTGTTCACATTCTTTCTTTCTTTTTTTTTTTTTTTTTGAATTTGAGAGAACAATTGTTATAATGAACCAGAAGTACAAGATTCCACTGAAACTGAACAGCTGACAAAATATGCTTGAACTTAAACCTTTAAGAGGGTCAAATAAAGCCAGTTATGTGGATTAGACCAAAACTGGTTCTGGACGAACATAGGTAACTGCACTTCAGCATGAGCAGCAGGTGACCCCTTCCCAGCAGTTCGTTTGTAAACAGTTTCCCACCCTTGTTTCTTCTGCCTTGTGTCACACCTGAATGGTTTCTTCTTCTATCCCGGATGCGCACAAGTCCCTTGGACTTGACACAAACCCAAATGAAAGCTTAAAAATCTTTTTGGGTGGAAATTGTACATATCCAGCTCAGCATGTCAGCTACCACTTACGTGATGTCGATGTAGGCAGCACCAACTTGACCAAATCAAAGTTGCTACCATGTGTAAGCTGTTCCTGGCCCAGCAGCAATATTCTTCTCCACAGCTGGAAACAGAGCATACGCATACGTGGGATGGAGGGAGACTTTAGAAACCTAACACTCCTTCCCCAACAAGGCCACACCTCCTAATCCTTGCCAAACTGACACCAAGAGTGACTAAGTATTCAAAGGCCTGAGACCTATGGGGGCATCTCATTCAAACCACCACAACCAGGTTGGGTTTTGGTTTTGTTGTTATGGCTGCTTGGTTGGTCTCTTGTGTTTCACTTCTAGTTTTTTTAATAGGCAGGCAAATATAGCTTGTTACTTTGCATTTCTCAGATGGTGATGGTGAGGTCGTCTCTGCTCTTGAACTTAGGCATTTACACATTTAACTAAATAAACCGGATGACAGTGCAGGTTAATTCAAGCATTGCCTTTTTGTTTCCTATTTGTCCTATTGGTTCTCTGCTCATTTTATTTCATCATCTTTGTTTTGGATAAATTGAGGAGTTACATAATTTCATTGCTTCTTTATGTGGATTTGTGGATGGTTTCTTTGAAGTTTATATTATAATATTTAGTTTAAGTGATTTTTTTTAACACTTTACATGGGAGAATATCGCAGTACACTGCTTTTACTTTTCAATGATACTTTTTGTGCTGCTGTTGGCAAACATTTTCATTTCAAATGTCCATAAAACTGTACCATTTCTGCTTAAATAGTTAATCTATGAAAGAGATAACAATAATTAGAGACATGGTGTGTGTGTGTGTGTGTGTGTGTGTGTGTGTGTGTGTGTGTGTGTGCGTGTGTGTGTGTGTGTGTGTGTGTGTGTGTGTGTGTGTGTGTGTGTGTGTGTGTAGTATATGGGTATGTACATACATCTTCAAATAGGGTGTATGTGTTTGTTCATGTTTATGTGCACATGTGTGTGAATGTGTCTTATAAAGGCTAGAGATAAAAATCAGAAGTTTTCCTTAGTCACTTCTGATTTTTTTTTTTTGAGACAAGGTCTTTCATTGGACCTAGAGCTCATGGATTCTGTCACACAGATCTAACAGTTATTTGTAGGAATGGGCCACCTCACAGTGCACCCCCAGTACTGGGGTTACAGACTTGTACTACAGTACCTGGCTTTTATATGGGTGTGGAACTTCAAACTTGCCACTGTCATTTTTTTCTGGTGCGGCATTTTTTCATGGTGTGAATGAGTGTTGGGGGATCCCCACTGCCTTTAATGTAGTGTGATTATTTTGTGGAAATATCCAGTTCTATTGGGCATTTTTACCTGTGGTTTATTATGAAGATGATTTCCTCTTAAGCTGTACTATTTAATTGAAATAATGATTTTATACAATAATAATGTTAGTTTAAATAGAATTTTGATGATTTAGGATTTCTAACAAATATAGTAAGGAATTATGATAGTGGTTAGTTTAGTGAGAAAATTAATATAGGTAAAGGTAACATATACTATTGCCCCCACTCCGATAAAGCAGGGGCTGCAGAGGATAGAAAATAAGAACAAGGAAATGTCACACAGCTAGGACTTATGAATTTCTCTTGAGGAGCCATACAGACTGTGATTTAGATTAATGATTAAGGAAAACCACTGAGCCCCAGAAATTAAGCTAGCTCACGTTCTTTTAATCTTAATGTTGGGAGATGTGTTCACAGGTTTCAGTGTGTGTCATGGCTAAAACAAAGCTTTGAATACTGACTTAAGGTTAGGTAAAGATGTTTTTGTTAATGACTTTGAGGTAGAAAATCTTGGGAAACAATTTAAAGTTTAGAAAGACACACTTTTAATAGTTAAATGAGGGACTCAGTGAGGTCAGGGAACAAAACCAATGGCAGCCTGGCTATTGCTGGCTGACATACCTTTCTTGCTAGGATGGATTGGTGATCAAAGGTGCTAAATTAATTCCTTGCACCCATTTCTGCCCTCAGCTTCCTGATATAAAAAAACCTTTTGACTGATGGGTATGCACCATGAGGATTTAGAGTAGAGATAACTGATTGTTTTTCATATATAAAAGTTGAGATTTGTGATTCTCTTAAGATTTTTTTTATAAGATTACTTTTTCAGATAAATAATAAAGTGATCGATCTTTTCTTTGTAACTGCAAAATGCAGCCTGCCTGTAAAAGAACTGACTGGGAAAAATACCTTGCTTGCTTCCATGCTGTTAATTTATAACAAGTTGCTTGGGCCTGAATGTATGTGGGTTCTTGGGGATCATTTGTTTTTCATCTGCAATACGTACAATGTTTAATCGTGTAAAGGAATTATTTTCAAGCTTTTCCAAACATTAACAGGAAAATAAACAACTGGACAAGATGCTTAACTAACCACAGTGGTTTAATCTATTAGTCTTCTCAAGCACTGTATACATGTTCTTATTAAAATGTATAATATGTTACATGGTGTTATTTCAGTTTTAATAAATGGCAAAATAGGAAGAAAAGAATTTAGATAAAATATGTCTTATATCTCACTCTTTCTCCTTGGTAGTAGTTGTGATGGAAGATGTATTATAGCTACTTTAAAGTTAAATTCAGGAAGGGACTGATTTCAGTAGTATGATCTAGCCTATACAATGTTAATATCCTGTGACATACCAGAGACAGACGTGGAAGGAAAGAACACTTTCCATGGCATAAGCATTCTCTCTACGTCATCTGTACACAGATAGAACGAGTGGATTCAGTTCTATGGGATTGTTACAAGTCCCTGCTTTTGGAAAGCTAGGTAGTTACAGATTTAGACTATTCTAAGATTTACATGAAAAGGAAATAAAATGTGCTACTTTACAAATAATGGTTTCCCTCTTTTCTTCTCTTTCAAAGACCACCATTTTGTAAATATAATTTTGTACTTAAAGAAAGAATCAAGACAGAACTTCTACCAGAAGCCTGTAAGACACAGATGGTGTGAGAGCCTTCTTTTACCAGGTTTAAAACTGTGAACCAAGTAATTTCTCAAATGCAACAATGTAACCGCCATTGTTTTAGAATGAACTATCCAATCTGTAATTCGGGTGTGTCTATCATTTCTTATTTTGGATTCTTCAAAATAATATGCGTTTAATAAAAAGTATTCTGAATATATTCTAAAGCTGTTTGTTTCTCCTTATCTGCTTCCTATATACATTTTAACATTGAGTGTTTATTCCTAATAAATGAATATGTTAAAAACATATTTTTCTAAAGGGAAATGACCAGTTTAGTGCTTTTTTTTTTTTTTTTTTTTTTTTGTTTTTGTTTTTGTTTTTCAAGACAGGGTTTCTCTGTGTAGCTTTGTGCCTTTCCTGGAACTTGCTTTGGAGACCAGGCTGGCCTCGAACTCACAGAGATCCGTCTGCCTCTGCCTCCCGAGTGCTGGGATTAAAGGCGTGCGCCACCACCACCCGGCCCAAGTTTAGTGCTTTAATGTGGAGCAAAAATCAATATCACTGTTCCTCTCTATTGTTGTAAAAAAAAGAAATGATATTTTTAATTTGAAAATTTATTGTTTAGTGAAATAAGTTGGATTAATGTGAACCTTGTGAATATGAACAAATTTTTATGTGCTGCAAACAAGAATGTTGTGCTATTGTACCCAATAAATTAATAATTAGTGGACCTATGATGCTTAAGATGAAATCCTAAATCCTTAATTTAATGATATAACTTTGAGTAGATTAATTTAATTCATTGTGTTTCTAAGTCCTCTATGAAATGTATGTGAAATTTACCCAGGAAAACTTTGAACAGTGTCTGTTCCCCATGATGATAAAAATAAATAGGCTTATAGCTAACAGTTATGTGGGTCATTGTGCTGTTGGAACACATTAACCCATCTAATTGTATAAAACCTCACGAAACTAGTCTTATTACATAACTGAGGAAGAGACTCTCCAGTATAAAGGTGCTGTAGATTCAATGCATAACTCAAATTCGATCAGAGATGTCCGGATACCTGTCAATCATCTTGTTAATGTCTTTCATCAACTTGTGTTAGCAATGTGAAGAGTTAGATTAATTAGCACTATAACTTGGAATACAATCTAAATGTCCTTGACATTCTCCATCTTACCTGTTTAATCAAGGCACTTCTCTGCCACAGAGCTTTCTTACTTGTGAATCTGTCTGTACCTCTATAGTTTGTTACATGCTTCTGAACCAGAATGCCAAGCAGAGTCCCTACCTATGATCTTCATTGTTTGTTTGTTGTTTTCTTTTTTGTATTATTGTTTTAAACGTGCTTGCAGATGACCATCTTCTTGATATATATCCACAGGGTCTTCTATGTATGGGAATACTAACTGTCCCTTTCTGTTTCAAAATGTCTACTTAGTATAATGTAAGTTTACCAGCCCGACTGGAGTATAGCCCACCTAAAGTGTCTTGTTTTAATATAACCACATCTCTGAAGTTGGATGTAATTAAATTCATTTTATAATTAAAATTTTGTATGTGTTTGTGCATGTGCGTGTGTATGTTTTCCTGTGTATGTTGAGTCATGTGTCCATGCCAGTATACACACAAAAATGCACCTGTGTGTGTAGAAGCCGGAGAACCAACTCAAGTGTCAGTTTCATGAGTGTTGGCTATGTCCTTTGAAACAGGAACTCTCATTGGCCTGGATCTTATGAGTTAGTCTAGGCCGGCTAGTCAGGGACCCCCTGTAATCCTTTCTTTGCCTCCCCAGAACTAAGATTATTAGCATGAAAAACCATGCCTGGCATTTTGTTTGAAAGATTATTTATTTTGTTTCGTTTAGTTATGTATATGCATGTGTTTGAGTGCAGATTTGTCCATATGAGTATAGTTGTATGAAGAGTCAAGAAGAGGGTGTCAGATTGCCAGGAAATGGAGTTATGGGTGGTTTTGAGCTTCCCAGACATTGGTACTGGGACCTGAACTCAGGTCCTCTGCAAGACTAGTAACTACTCTTAACTGCTGAGACATTTCATCATCTCCATTTCTGTCATTTTTACACAGGCTTTGGAAACTGAACTCAGGAACAGGCATGCACTTTCTTGACTGGGCCATTTCCCCAGACAGCGACTAATTTTCTAGCCAAATTATATATCCAACTGAATGCATTATTGAATATAATATTCATGTGATTTTGTGAAGTTTTTGCTGATATATTAAAATTATCAATAACAACTTGAGGAAAGGAGGGGGCTGAGGTTCCAATATCTTCTTCAATACTGACCCCCAAGGGCCTATCTTCTCTCCAGTAAGCCCATTTCCTGAAGATTCTAAAACCTCCCAATACCTTCAACATATAATCCTTCATCTAGCTGACACCTGAGATGAAATTATAGCACTATCAGGTCAATCTATGCATTAAAATCTCTACTTGCAATAGCTCATGTTCCTTTACAAATTCCCTAAAAGCAAGAATTTTTAATATCCTCAGTGATGTGGTTAAGAATCAAAGACATGAGAATTGAATAATAGACAATATGAGAAAGACTTTTTGGTGTGATTTGGTTGTTATATAATGAGTAATCAGTGAGAATGATGTAAATCTGTGAATGAATAAATGGATGAATGAGAAGTCAAACCCTCTGCAGAAGCACAGACCAATAGGAGGAGCTCGGCTCCCCAAAAGTGTGATGTGGCTGGTAAATATTAAGCCAAATGACGCAGAATTTGCTGAATGTGACCATCTTGACAAACTCACAGAAACACATACTGTTCCTCGGGGGCATGCTTTTAGATTTTTCAGATGAAGACATTGCTAAACATTACATAAAATAGCCCCAAGACAAATAAATACAATTTGTTTCTCAGGTGGCATAAGCAACATCAGTGAAGAACACTGGGGGATAGTTTTGAGATCGAGGACTTCTAATCATGAAGAGCATTTTCCTTAATATTTTATTGTCTTGTGAATATGGCGTACTTGAAAAATGAAAGAAAGTCTGAAAGGTGAACAGCTGGTGATACAGATGGTGTTGATGAATTGAATTTGGATTTCTGTACCATGGCTTACATTTCTGGAATGCTAGGCTCTTGGCTCAGAGTATAATTTTGTCTCATAGGGACATGGAAGATTGTTTTTGCATGCAGGCTAAAAGTGCTTTAAATGGAACACAAGATTACAGAAAATGTTTGAAGATTAAATTCAAAGGCACCATTCACTCAGACCATTTGCCCTGCTCTGCATACACTTCAAGGTTTCTTTCCTTGATCCTTATCAACAGCAATTGGTATTTAGCTCAGATTCACCCACATCCCACCTCCTCCTTGGGCCTTTGCTTGGCCGTTCCCTTGGTTAACTTATTTGTCCCAAGCACACGCCCCCCTATGCCTTTGTCTCTACTGTTAACCAGAAATGTGGTCCCACGTCTGTGTGACAGCACGGCTCTGGTGAATCTCTGCACACTTGTCTTCCATCATCAGAATGTGATTGGGAATGCATAGATCTTTATTTCAGGTTCTCAATGGAAAAGTGGATTATTTCAATTGTTCAGCAACCTGTGCCAAAGTAGATAAATGAAGCAGTAACATTTTCAAGTTTCTATCTTCTAAGTGGGAAGGAGTGGGCAGCAATCATTATTATTCAGACTGTCTGGAACAAAATGTTACAGGTAGGCCTGCTTGAAGATCAGAGGGTTCTTAGCAATCATTTGAGAGTCTCTAGGTTTTAAACTCTTCTAAAATAGGACTTCAGGATTACAAAATTTTAGCCAAGACAAATAGATTATTTAATAAGTTCAATTAAAAATTAATTGAAATACATTCTATATTCTAACTATATGAGTATTAAACATTTATTAACATCTGAACAGATAAAATAGTAATCACTTTTATGCCTTTCCTTAACAATATTTTAGGGAAATTCAACATTGGCTGACAAGCAAACAGCATCCACAAACAATAAAGATTCTAAAGTCATTACACTTTACCAAATGAACGTGTCATTAGTTTCAAGTGTTTTGTCATAGAGATTTTAAAGAAAAATGTGTTATTTCATTTAAAACTTTATTTCTCAGAATAAAGATTCATCAAAACTAGCACTTGATATTTGTTGGCTTAAACATATATTCAGTTTTTGCATGAAACAAAAAGATTATTTGGAAGCTTTATCAGGGTTGTGATGGTACAGTGCATAGGTGCTACCTTCACCTCAGCATCCCTTCCCATTGAACAAGTCAAGAATACCCCAGAAGATTGGTTTCAAAGTTGTTTCATAATATAGAAAAAGGTAATCACAATATTCTTTTTTTTTTTTTTTTTGGTTTTTCGAGACAGGGTTTCTCTGTGTAGCTTTGCGCCTTTCCTGGAACTCGCTTTGGAGACCGGGCTGGCCTCGAACTCACAGAGATCCGCCTGGCTCTGCCTCCCGAGTGCTGGGATTAAAGGTGTGCACCACCACCGCCTGGCTATATTCTAAGCTCTAAAGAGAAATGTCCATAATCAAAGACAATTCTTTATTTGTACATTCTACATAGTACCTAACTATATGACAGGTGCCTAGTTTTTTTTTTTCTTATTTTCCAAATCTGTAGGCTCCCTCTTCATTACAAAGACGGTGTACATTCCTGTATAGAAGTTTTCCAATTCATGAGTCAATCCTCTTTGTCATTTACTGCTCTTACTGACAGTGCTATCAGGATTTTATCCAGAAACTCTTTCTTGTTCCAGTGAGCTCAAGTGTATGCCCCACTTTCTCCTCTAACAGGTTCAGGACATCAGATTCCGTGGTGAGCGCCTCAATTCAGTTTCAGGGTGAGTTTTGGGCAGGGTGAGAGATATGGATAGTTTATTTCTTATACAGGTAGTTATCCACTTGAACCAGCATCATTTGGTTAAGATTCTGTCTTTTTTTCTGGTGTTTTATTTTGGACTCTGTCAGAAATTAGGCGGCTGTAGGAGCATGGCTATTGTCTGGGTCCTCAATTCTATCCCATTGATAACCGTCCATTTGAATGAGAA